GGCAGCGAGTGTCTTTACTTACTGAGCCATCTCATTGGCCCGTAAATCACCTCTTTAAAGGCCCGCCCTCCAAACGGGCATTTGGCAGTACCAAGGTAAGGCTGCAACCTATGGCTTTTGGGACTTGAAACTCAGCATATGGCAAGGACCACAGGATGGTAAGATGCAGCCCACTTGTCAGGGCTACCCTAAAATGCTAAGCTCCCCCCCTCTAGCATCCTCCTGATGCCCTCCTGGCAGCGACCCGTGGATAGAAGAGAGAGGAGGAAGCTGGAGAGATGTGTTAGTGGTTAACAGCAAGGACCCACGTTTGATTTCTAGCACTACTTTCGGGTGGCTTGCAGCTGCTTGGAACTCCAGCTGCAGAGGCTCCAAAGCCTCTGGCCTCCACGGGTACCTGCACTCATGAGTACCCATGCCCCACATATATAAAATTAAAAATACAAAAACAAATAATTTTTAAGGTGGAAGCTGATAAACCAATCCCAGGGCCAAAGAACAAATTTCAGGATAAATACCTATCCTGCTACCCTCCAGGGCTCCCCTGAGGACTCCCACTTGCCCTGCAGCAAGGACAGGAAGTTCTCTTCACAGCGGAAGGTACCATCTTGGCTGAAGCCAGGACAACAGCTCAACCCCCTTGCATTCGTGTCCATAAAACAGAGATGAGGTTTGCCTAGGTCGGAGATTGGATGTCAGGCAAGCGCATAAGCAGCCTTTTAAGCACCACGTCACATGGCGGATGCTCACTATTAGCACCATGTCATACAGGGAATGCAAAAAACTGCATCCTCTAGAGACACCTGGTTTGGAATTCCCACAATTTGTGTGACCTTGAGCCAAGAAGCAGCAGAGCAATGGAGTCCTCCTCTACCTATGAGGACCCAAAGGAGCGAGTGACTCAAAGGAGCGATAGTGTGAGTGGTCCCCTCACATTCCTGGCCGTTGCCACCCAAGTATGGCTAAGAAGCTTCACCTACATTTTATCCTGGGGTGGGGAGGACGCTGAGAAAGGGGTGGCAAGGGACATTAGCTCAGTGTCAGCAGATCTGTTTTCTCCTCCCTGAGGGTCCTGGTCCCTGAGAATGCCAGGTCCAGGGAGGGGTCCTGATTTGCTGCCCCATCCATCAGCTGGCTCTCTGCCCACAGTCATTGTTTCGGGGGGAGGGGGCATCCTGGGCAAGCCCGGGCCACACTCAACACCAGGCTCATACTGGGGATGGAAAACCCATGCAGCTGGTGCCACCAAGTGGCACAGTCGGCAACTGTCAGTGTGCTTGCCACCAGCCGGCAGCACTGAGCTGTGTCGGCTGCAGCCAAAAGCAAGAGGCCCTTAAGATCACGCCTGACTCACTCTGTGGTCCCCCCACAATGCTAAATCAGGTCAGTGAGCTTATTTATGTCAAATAAATCAACAGAGCCAACTGGTGAGCCGCCTCGAGACTGTTTGTCTTGGGTTAGCACCGAGAACAGACTACAGGCAAAACCCCAGGCAGGTTTGGATGTCATGGACAGAGCACAGGGAGTTTGACCTGAAGTGCCGTCCAGATCCACACCCACCAGGACAATTTTGTGTTCAGCATGGGGGAGGGGAGCCGCATATGCCTGAGAGATGGCACAGCTCTAAACAGAGGCTCCTAAGGAACATACTGAGGTCCCTGAACCTTTAAAAACACTACCATGAAGATGCTCTTGCTGCTGGGGGTAGGGTATGGGCTGTCCCAAGCATGGATTATCTTTCCCCATGCAGCCTTTTTAGGAAGACGATAGTCCACGGAGCCTTCCCTGTGCTTTTTTTTTTAAATCTTACTTTTAATTTTTTAAAGTATTACTCTTATCTATATGGCGTCTTGCCTACATGTATAGAGGTGCACCACAATAATGCATGGTGCACAAAAGCCAGAAGAGGGCGCTGGATCCCGAAGGAGTTACAGATGGTTGTGAGCTGCATCCAGCATCTTAGGGGACTGGCTGCATTGTCCCAGGAGTGCCAAGCAAGAAGTAAAGAACACTCCAGGACTCTTGGGCATGCTGTTGGTTCTGGAAGATCCCTGAAAGCAGGCATTAAAAGGACTTGTTGCTCTTCCAGAAGACCTAGGCTCCATTCACAGCACCCACATGGCTGTTTCGAGGGTAACTAGGGTGCACATGGCTGGTGTCCACCTACCCTGTGGGAATTACAGCCCAGCCCACAGAGGGCACATGGCTCTGGTCATGTTTGTCTCAGTGGTAGGATTTCTGGGTGGTCAGAGTCAGGAACTAGGATCAGTGTATGTGTTAACAATCACTTCAGTTGACAATGAGAATGAGTTTGCCCAAGTTCACGATGCCTGGGCTCCTGTGAGGTGGTGTGTCAGGATACAGTTCAGAGGCTTCATACCACTTCTACTCACACTGTGCACAACTGCATGTGTGCACACACATTCACACAAACACACACACGTGTACACAGACACACATAGCCAATGCATGGGACATGCTAGAGCAACACATTTATCCAAATTATCAACATCTAATTAAGGAAATATCTGACTAAACTTTAAAAACAATTTTGTGTGTTTCACACAAGTGTCAATATGAAGCCCAAGCTTTCTTTGGACTTGGATTTCCCCTGCCTCAGCCTGAATACTGGCAATTAAATCATGTGCCACCATACCAGGCACAACATCTACGTTAATATCTGCTAATACAGATTAATAAACCTGGCAACACAGGACAGGACAAACTATTCTTGTGATGCTCATGTACAATCACACACACACACATGCATGCACACATGTACCTATAGACACATGCATATCTTCTTAGAAAGGCATGGCCAGTGGTCTAGAACCAGTTACCCGTGACACGAACTGTTTTCTCTTTTAGTCCACACCACATGTGGCTGTACTTCAGGTTATCTGGTGTTTTCTGACCATAGGCTTGCGCTGTGCCGTTAGTATTCAGGCATCTGTACTGGCCTGCCTTTGGGGTTCTGACAGGATACGCCCCCAGCTGCAGCCACTAAGAGCACCACCTGTGCACATTCACTACATTCCCTTTAAAAGGGCACTGACCACCTCCCATCCTCCTCTTTTTTCTCTCTCTGCTTCTCCGCCTCTCTCTTCTGCTGCTCCTGTCTCCAGAGGCCAGTCTCCCCTTCCCCCTTTTCCCATTTATTTCCCCCCAATAAAAAAAAGTCCCTCCACCCAAGCTCTGTCGAATGTCGTCTTTCTCTTGTGTGCTACTTTTTAAAATGACAACATTCACACCACACAAAACAAACTATTTCTAGTTCTGCTGTTTGCTTCCTCTGGCCCCACGGGACGCAGAGTCCCGAGAAATACAACCGGCATGCCCAGAGACACATTTAACAACTGCCTCTCCTATCTTTACTGGCAATTGACTCCGTGGTTGGTTATATATTCGGTGGTGTCAGGGCTCTCATCTTGAGAAGCCCAAGCTGAGCTCAAATGCATAATCCTCCTGCCTCAGCCTCCCCAGTGTTGGGATTACAGCCCCCATGCTACCGCCACAGCCTGCTGGATCTGTCTTTGCAGCACTGAAGGTTGTGTCTTTGTTCCTTAGTTCTGGACTCTCAGCGAGAATGACCCTAGGCTTGTACCCCTTTAGACGGCCGCTGAGGTTCAGCCGAGAGTCATTGAGTTGGTGGCAAAGATGTAACCAATGTGCTCGAAGCACAGCGGCAGACCAAGCCACCTTCTTCACGCCTTTGAAAAGGGACTGGGTGAGAGAGGGAGGCTGCACACAGAGAGAAACCAGTGATGTTGGTACCCAGAGCTGCAGTCACACCAGAATGAACCGTGTCAAAAACGCCCAGGAAGAACCTTGCCTGGAAGGTGACACATTGGTGATAGAGTGGCCTACTTGCCACAGGGGAGAAAACTGTCCTAGTTAGCTCTCCTTTGGCTTGCTTTCATTCTTATCTTGATCCATACTACGCAGTATTAAACAGAATGACTCCCCGAGGAATCTGCACAGGGCAGCCCCACTCCTACCCCCACACCCCACCTCCACTGCACCGACAGGTCAGAAACTTCCAGCTCCGTTCTGCAGACAAGTGTCTGCTGGCGGATAGCGAGCTCACTAAGGACGCGGGTGCAGGCTAACCACACTGTGCCTTGAGGCAGGAATGTGCTGTTATGCGAGCATGTCCTGTGGGGATCACAGCGTAATTTAATCAGCACTTCAGCGTGGTACAACTCCAGGGTGGGAAAATAATGAAGTCAGCACTTAGTGCTGGGAGTTCTCTGCTCAGCCTTGGGCGCAGCTGTGACCTAGAGCTGGGCTCCGCTCAACACTGCCAGTATAAATGGTGCGACTGTCGGAGGCAGGCACTGTGAGCTAGTGAGAGTAGCATCACCGACACTCCATCCATTATAGGAGTGGTACCTTCCCCGTTCCAGCTAGGAGCAGACTGATCTCCACACACTGCCAAATGGCCAGGGGGTGGGGAGAGGCTGCCCCCATGTTATAGACCCACCACCCTAAATCTGTCAGAAAGGTGGGTTTGTGAATGTGAGCTAATTGCTCTAGAGTGTCACAGAAGGGAAAGGTAAAGCAGGAAGAGGCTCAGCTGAGTTTGAAGTACCAGGAGGCTAAGGATGCAGGATGGAGTTTGAGGCTACCTTGGGACAAAGTTCAGGTCTCAAAGGCAAAAGAGAGAGGGGTAAGGAGGTAAAGGAGAGGAGAGAAGGAAGAGAGGAAGGAGAAAAAGGGAAGAAGAGAGGGAGGGAAAGAGAGGAAGAGAATTATTTAAGGTTTCATTCATTTCCAAATGTTTCTGTAGTAACCCATGCGACAAAATAAATGGTCAATTAAAAAGTGACTTAATAAACACAAATAAAGCCAGGCTGTGTGGCACACGCCTTTAATCTCAGCACTTGGGAGGCAGCGGCAGGCAGATCTCTGTGAGTTTGAGGCCGGGCTAGACTGACAGCCTCCAAAACAATACAGAGAAACCCTGTCTCGTAAAACCAAAAAATAAAAATAAACATAAATCAATATCACTTGTGTATTTTATCATTTAGCTTACACAGATTTAGGCAGGACCAGCAAGTTGGCTCCACAGGCCAAGGCACAGCCACCAAGACCTGACTGAGTTCCATGCCAGAAGCCATATGGTGGAAGAGTGCACCAATCTCCACATTTTCCTCTGATCTAAACCGTGGTATGCATGTGCCCCGCCCCACAACAATTAAATGTGATTTAGTCTTTTAAAGGCTCATTTTTATTATATTATTTTTGTGTTTGTGGTGTCTGTGTGAATGTATGCTACATATTCAGGTACCTGTGATGGCCAAAAGAGGCCATCACATCCCATCAGTTGTGAGTCCCCCAATGTGGATGCTGGGAACTGAACCCAGGTCCACCATAATAGTAAGCGCTTAACCACTAAGTCAATCTTAAGTTTAAAAAAAAGTCCTCTTTGTAAACCAGAACTCACTGTTCAGGGTGAGCTGATACACACAGGCTCACCATTTCAAAACTGAAAGAAAAATAAATACAAATGAGAACACTGAATTCTTAGCAAACAGCTTAAAAGATGACTGAGACATGGCTGACTGACGGACGGACGGACGGACGAGCAAACAGTGGCTGCAGGAGTTGAGGCGAGCAGTCGTGCCCTGTAGTAGCAAGCTACCCCCAGGGACGGGACCAGATACCCTCAATCGTCACTAGCAGTGTCACGCCTCATGCACACAGGCCTGCAGACAAGAAACCCATGGTCAGTGTTTCCAAGGGGGAAGCACTCCATGTTTGCCTGGAAAGCCACAGAGGAAGCTGAAAATAGCTGGTAGTCATCTCTAGGACGTGTGATTTTTAGGCAACTATTTTATCATTAGTGTCAGGTCCAAAAAAACCAACTCTGGACAAATGACTACGATGCCTGTTAGCGTACCAACACTGCCTCCAGGCTTCAGCACCACACCTGTGTCTCTCCTAAACTTCTCTCGCTTGCCTCCCCAGCCTCTCATTCCTATATGAGCCTGACATTTTGGCCACACACTCTTGGCGTCCTCACTCTTTTGTTTTCCTCTCGTGTACATGCTTAGTTTACTATTCTCTCTCCCTGCTCAGGACTCTCCAGGTACCTCAGACTGCCCCCATATCTGCATGGAAATCTTCCCCTCAGCCATTCCTTGGAGGGATCCCGTCCTCACTTTACAGTTAGGTGGCCCCAGCCTAAGCTCCTCATTACTCTAACTGGTATCTTTTTTATCCCAGAAACCCCGACTCCTCATCCTTGCACTCCCCCATTCTGCTCCCTGGGGCTACTGACACTGGCCTCTTAAGTAGGCAGCATCTCCCACTCAAGAGGATCCTAGGACAAACTCAGACAGGTAAACACGTGACCCCATATCCAAATAGAAGGCCCAAGACTCAAAGGAGGTCACACTGCAAAGCTGAAGTGGCCCCAGTCACATTCCTGTCCTGGCTGTGAGAAAGAGGCTAGTTCATGATTTACCTGCAAATCCCAAAGTTGGGAACAGCTGGGGCCAGAATCCCGGCGTGCTACAGTAGTTCCCTGCTCCACTCCCGGGAAGCCATGAAGTCAGCCCTTGAGGTGTGTGGAGAACCCCATCATTGCCCTAGAAGGCCTCCTCTATTTCTACAAGAACCAGAAGCCTACCCTTCCATCCTGGCTGTGGTGTAGTGTGGCGCTGCCGGGAGACCACATTCTCCTCCTGCACTCCATGTCAGAACCCTCTCACTATTGTGTTTCTTCTCTCCATGGTTACAGGCTTGGGGTCCCAGCATTCTCAACAAGAAGCCCAGTAAATGCACACTCAGAAGGGAGGGAAATGCCTGAGAGCTACCTGCCCACATCCCCTCACATTTAGTAACGTTAAACATCTAAGTTGACAACATTCTTGCCTCCTCTCTTCCCCAAGCCCCCAATATGTTTCACCTGATTCTAGAAACCCTATTGAGGGATTGAGGGAGCTCAAAACCAACCCTGCAAGAGCGGTGAGCCGGGGGTAGGGGTGGGGCTTCCCTGCCCAGTGCCACTTTTGTCTGAATGAAGTACCAGGACTTTCCAAAGTAGTGTGTGTGTGTGTGTGTGTGTGTGTGTGTGTGTGTGTGTGTGTGTGTGTGTGTGTGTGTGCGCGCGCGCATGCGTGCCTATGTGCATTCCCCTACTTGACTGAAACACAAAACCCACATGCCACAGTCAATTGAAAGTGACCTTTGCATTACTGACTCAGTGTGGACACAGACGCCACTTTCTCCTGACTGGGATAACTGAAAGCCACCCATTCTCAGGGGAGATGGTGTGGAGATGCCCTGGAGGACATGTGGGCAGCACTGAAGGTGAAGTTCTGGTGTGGGTTTTCATCTTTCTATCTTGGCGGGGACTCTGGGAGGGCAGGCCACCCCTCGCCGTTTCCTCATGCACTGAGTGAAACACAAGCAAACTGGAATCTTGATCACAACTGTCCCGGGACTACAAAAAAACTCATGGACCGTACACGACATGCCTTTCCAGTACCAAGTCAGAAAGAACTGGCAAAAGGCATGATGTTTACATTAAACTGCTCACCCGAAACCTGGGTCACCACTCTTGAGTGGAAACGAACTCAAGGGAGACAGACCAACACCAATGCTGACCAAGGGTGGACTAGCATTAAAAGCCTGATGATAATCCCAGCACTTGGCAGGTTCAGATAGGGCAGTCAGGAGTTCAAGGTTGGCATCAAACACATATGGAGTTGGATGGCAGCCTGGGCTATGGGAGACCCTGCCTAAAAACAAAACAAAACTAAAAAACCCCAAGAATTAAAAAAAAAAAACATACCAGTTATCAGAAAGAATGATCAAGCCAGAACATTCTAGAACGTGCCAGAATGTGTAGGTGCACCCAGTTCTTTCATGAACTTTGAGTCAACATACTGAGAAGTCCAGAGCAAAGAGAACTGAATCACTGGGCTCTAACACTAAAAATCGACTCCCTGGCCAGGGCCATGGCTCAGTAGCAGAAAGTCTGCAGTCGCACACAAAGTCCTGGGTTTGATCCCAGCACAGCAACATCAAACAAGAGAACAGATGCCCATCAGACTGCGCCCCTTCCCTAGAGGTGACAGAATACAGTTCAGAGGTGAGCAGGAAGAGGAAGCAGGAGGGAGCTGAAGGAAATTCCATCCTGAAGGCAAACGTGGCTGGGAGACAAGGCGCCATGAAGCTGCTGAGAGAAAATCGAGATTCATGCCTGACGCCAGGGCAACCTCAACCCAAACCAAAAAATGCCATGGTCCACTGTAAGGGACGGTGAAGAAGTGTGTGTTAATAGGGGGCCGGAAAGCAAGACAGGAGCGTCAAGGAAGAGGTGTCTTGCCCTGATGCTTGAAACCCAAATTTCAGTTACTGGTGACAACAGCCCACCCCTGCAACATCGAACACTGATCCGCCTTTGGGACACTCTCCAGGTCGTGGCTACCACATATGTCTCCCACTGAGGGCAGATATGAAACTCTAGGTTGGAGTAAGAGCTTAACAAGCGTTTGCCGCTGGCACACAGCCAGGCTAGGAGAGCAGTAAAGAATGAATGAGTACTGCAGACCACATTCACCAGTCCCTGCCAGCTCTGTGACAGACGAGAGAAAGGCTCCCCTGCCCCAAGGCTGAGGGGGTCTCAACAGGGACACAGTGACAACAAACCCCACTGGAACAGTCACCCGGGGATTCAGGCCTCCCAACCATTATTTCAGGTATATGAGCATCCCAGGACTGCTCTACAAAAGCTCGGTGGGGACCAGCACCTCCCTGAGGCTCTCCATACCCCTAGAGGTTGGGCTATGGATACAAGGCTTGCTGGTCAGATGTTAAAACAACCAAAGAAGTCCGTACACCCGCACTCCTGGAGACAAACTTGCATCTGGTGCAGGAGCGATGTTAGCAGTCACCTCCTTGAGTGTATCCAACTGGACAGGCAAAGGTGTCCTGCACAAAACACAGCACCTTCCACCGCTCTGAGAAGTCATTGAGTAACTACAACATTGCATCAAGCCCTGGCCCCTGACCAGCAGCCCAGGGCCCTGCAAGCTCTACAGAACAGCTCCGTCCATCTGCTCCAGCTGGTGGCGAAGGAGCCAGAGACACTTGAAGCCGCTACACATGGTCAAGGCCGAGAATCCTTGTGTGGCTTTCTCCTTCATTGTCTCATGTGGACCAGGCTGGTTCTGGGTGTGTCTCTCCATCAGGCCTCACTCGGGGAAGAGTTCCGGGGGGCTCTCTCCGTAGCAGTATTTGGCTATGGGGTCACGGTACGTGTTCTCATGCTGCACGCTCTGTTGGCAAAGGAAGACGGGAGAATGAAAGAGAGGGTCAGCTGCAATGAGCCACACACTCCCCGCCTACTCCGCCCACCTCCAGCGTGCCTAGGGTTTCAAGGAACTTTCTAGAATGAAGTAGGATTCTTAGCACCGAGTGCCACAGAAACAGACGAGACGCTAGTGTGCCATTTCTTCTTTGGTCTACCTGGCTGGGCATTTTAAGACTGCTTCTCAACCCTTCCGAAGTGGGGCCTAGGGACAGGGCGCAGCCAGCAGAGTGCTCGCCTAATACACACGAAGGCCTGGTTTGATCCCCAGAACCTCATAGAAGTGGGCGGAAGGATGCACATTTGTGATTCCAGCATTGGAGCTGGGAAGGATAGAAGTTCAAGGTCATCCTCGGCAGTATGGTGAACTTGAGGCCAGCCTGGCTGTATGAGACCGGTCTCAAACACTACAACAAGGGCAAGGTGAGACAGACCAGGGGCTAACACAACACAGCGCTTGCCCCCAAGCCCGAGGACCTCAGTTTGATTCCCTGGGACCCACGTGGGAGAACGAGAAGCAAACTCTCCAAGTTGCCCTCTGACCCTTGCACTTGTGGTGGTTCGCCCACGCATATGCACAGTAGTTAAGTATGAAAAGAACAGTCTGAAACAGATGGAGATGCAGTGCGATCGCTCGGCACCTGACCCTGTGGTCAGAGAGTTCCAGTCACTGGTGAGGAGTCTGGCAAGGGACTTGGGAGATGACACTTCAAATGACAGTAATGCACTAAGGGCCTGTGCGCAAGCCAAGCAGAGCCTTCCTCAAGAGCAATTCTTGTCATAGGAGCAATTTGAGGTTTGACTGCTCTAGAGCTCATTAATTAGCCTCTAGCAAAGCTATGCACCTTATTAATTCCACTTAACAGTCTCTGGGCCGGTGAACCAGTGGCCATTGACAACTGTCTCTACTTGCACAGTAGGAAGTACCTTCGGGCTCTGTGAGCTTCCGGAAGCTGCTATCATATCAGTTCCCCTTTCCAGCATCAGCTAGGAAGAGCAAGTGAATCCACCGAGCTCCCTCACCCTTCCCTTTCCACCCATTTACCTAGGAAGCTCCCCCAAGTAAACCAGAGATGGAAAAGGGAATTACCAAGCACAAACCCAAAGCTTCCAGAGGGCCAGAGACGGACATGAGTGAGTTACCCCAGAGGAGTGGCTTGTGTAAGAGACATCTTACGGAGAGTAGTGAGAAATGCCCAGCCACAAAGGCGGGGGACTGGAGCAGGAGAGATAGTCCAGCAGGGAAAGGCACTAGTGCCAAGGCTGACGCCTGAGTTTGAGGCTCAGGACCCACACGGCGTATGGAGAGAATCGACTCTCACAAGTTGTCGCCTGACCTATACGTATGTGCCTCCCCAAGCCCAAAATAAACGTAAAAGGGGAATAAACGAAGGTGGGGGCAGAGGCCCTCCTGGGCACTCCAGGGTGGCGGGTGCATGCGTGAGGGCAGGGCGTGTAAGGTTAGGTGGTGTGTGCTCACCAAAAACCTTACAAACCTCAGACTGACTCATGTGCCTTTAAATACCCACCCCCTACCCCTGGGATCCTGGATCAAGTCACCGCTCTGTCCCAGGACAAGTGACGACCTCCTCCTCCTCCTCCTCCTCCTCCTCCTCCTCCTCCTCCTCCTCCTCCTCTCTCCTCTCCCCACCTCCCACCCTGGCTCAGCTCTGCCTCGAGTAACTGGCTAGCGTTCTCCAGCTCTGCCTCCCTCCCGCCGCCTCTAGCGAGGGCCAGCACCACTTCCAGCACCACTTCTGACCTGGGACGAAGTCCTGCACTTAGCCAAGCACAACTCGAAGTGGTCTTCAACTGCCATGAAGAGGTTCTGGAAGGCCGCAGCTGCCCGGCTGAGGAAGCGCTCCAGTAGAAGTTGCTATGGAAACAAGGTATTCAGGACAGTTAGTAACTGTAGGCCAAGCTAGCCAGCCAGGAGGGAGGGAGGAAGGCAGTCTCTCACTCACCAGATACCTGGTTAGCAATAGCATGGAACCACGCATGGGGGACCAGCTCCTCTCCCAGGGGAGGCCAGTGCATCTCTCGAGGACCCCAGGAGATGCCTAGCTCTCCCCGTTAAAGGCCTGCGAGGGTGGGGAGCTGGAGCCCCTACCTTGCTGGGCTGCAGACAGCAGGAGACACAGTGCTCGTAGGCTTCACAGCAGCCATTGGCCAGGCACCCATCACAGCAGTACTGCTTCGTGCTGGGGACAGTGACATCGCAGCAGCCATTCGCCAGCAGGTCCTTCCTCTCGCAGACGTAACCTGAAAGCCAGAGACGTATCCTGAGCACCAGGGCTGGCCTCGCCTGGGCAGACGATGATGGGAAGTCGGGCTCCTCAGTCGTCGCTAGATCCATATTGTCACCGTGCTTCACCCTGTCACCGCGCTCGACCGCTCTCCAGTCTATTACCTAAGTGTGAGCGCATCACCTTGCCAAGGCACACCCATGTGGTTGGGTGCTAACATAAGCAAGCAATCTTTCACCCGGGACTCTTTAAAAGTCTAAGACAGGGCTGGAGAAGATGGCTTAGTGGCTAAGAGCACTGGCTGCTCTTCCAGAGGTCCCAAGTTCAATTCCTAGCAACCATATGATGGCTCACAACCATCTATAGTGGGATCTGATGCCCTCTTCTGGCATAAAGGTGTATATGCAGATAGAGCACTCATACACATAAATAAATCTTTTTAAAAATAAATAGTCTAAGGTAGAAACAGCAAGGTACCCATTCATAAAAACTGTGCACTTTGCAGATTTAAAAAGCAAACACACAGCTTTTGATGGCTTTTACACACCTGCTGTTATTGTGGTCACTTGAAGGGACTGCTAAACTGGGAAGCCACAGCCCACCTTCGTAACTCTGCTTCCAGTATTTGTACACAAGCACAGGGTAATACAGTCACTCCCTAGAATTGGGGGTGAAGTTCTCACATCCTGGAGGGATAAAAAAAACCTAACTTGCTCCACAACTGAGAAACCCCATCACACAGATATGCAGGTCCAGTGTCTGCCAGGCCTCCTCACTGGGGTTGCTTTACTATTCACAACTTCTAGGCAGATAGCTCCCTGCACCCTTTGGGAACAGGACAGAAAAAAATCTAAGTGTAAGTTCATGAGGGCCACTACCCAACCTCAGACATGCTCCCAGTGGCCATTCAAGCCTGAAGGAACATACATACGTGGGCCTTCAGGTGTAGGCAGGGACCCCCAGGTATGTGTGGGGGCCTTCAGATATGTGCAGGGGCTCTCAGGTGTGTGCAGGGACCCTCAGGTGTGTGCAGGGACCTTACAGTATATGTGTGTGAGCCCTCAGGTGTGTGCAGGGACTCTACGGTATATTTGTGTGGGCCCTCAGGTGTGGGCGGGGGTCCCCTGGTGTGTGTGTGTGAAGGCCCTCAGGTATGTGCAGGGACCCTCAGGTGTGTGCAGGGACCCTCAGGTGTGTGCAGGGACTCTACGGTATATGAGTGTGGGCCCTCAGGTGTGTGCAGGGGCCCTCAGGTGTGTGCAGGGGCCCTCTGGTGTGTGCAGGGGCCCTCTGGTGTGTGTGTTCTCGCCCTCAGGTATTCAAGTGGGTCCTTAGGTATGCACATGGGCCCTCGGGGGTGTTCAGGGGCCCTCAGGTGTGCAGCAGCTGTTCCCAGCATCAGCACGTCTGAGTGCCCCAGCTCTGTCCTCAGAGAGCCAGGCTGGCTTGTTTTCAGAACTGCTCCGGAAAACAAGGTCTGTGTAGGAGGTGGCAGAACCTGACACCAGAGGGGACGATAGAGGCCCTCGCTCACACTTGGGAGACCAGGAGAGAACTATTCCCAACACCTGGGAGCTGGCGGCTTCTGTCTTGTTTCTGCTACTGCAGCTCCTGAGTGAATAGATAAGCACTCTGATGTCCTAGTAAACGTTTCCTTCCCAGCTGCCCCACTCATGCTGTTGACAAGGATTCTAAGTGGAACTCCCAGGGAGTCTGCAAACTCCCAGGATTCTACCCCAGATGATAACAATAAAGCAACTCTATCATGGAGATGGATAATACTGTGCACCCCAAATGCAACCTGCAGATACCACCTGCCCTTTCCTTTGCCAAGCTGGAATTAACACCTGAGGCCCCTTTCTTCCCACTGACAACTCCCAACACTTGGCACCGAACTCTGGCATTCACCTCCCGAGCATGTGATCATGTCTAAAGTCTGAGGAGAGCGAGCTCACCCAGGCCTCTCACCCTGTATCATAAATTATGAAAAAGTTACCTTTTGAGTTATTTTTATTTTATTGAGTGCACATTCCTGCAGAGGCCAGATAGGGTGTTGGGTCCCAGGGAGCTGGAGTCACAGGCAGTTAGTGAGCTGCCTGCCTTCCATGGATGCTGGGAATCAAACCCAGTCAGGTACTCTTGCAAAAGCAATCAGCACTCTTGACCAATGACCCATCTCTCCAAGTCCTCTTTACTTTTAGTTGAAAAAAAAATCAACAAAAAAACAAAAACCCTACAAGAACCATACGGGGCATTGTGATATTTCAATACAAGGTTCAGATCAGCTCTGCAGATATTATTTCCCATCAAGTCCCATGAGACCAGGGCCAGCAAATGTGTTGGTCGTGCCTGGAAAATTAACTTCCAGCTTTTGAGAAGTTTGCAACTCTAATTGGCTATCTTGTTTAACAGCGCTGTTACCCTAGCAACACGTGGCATCTCGTTGCTAAACAGCATTAACAGTTGCAAGGTTTTGTTTTTTTGTTTGTTTGTTTTGTTTTAAGTTAAACCACATTTCTCATATTTGTAAAGGCAAAATAAAACCTGCAGCGCCTGTGGGAATTTTATAAGTTTGAGAAGTTAAGTATTGGATTTTTTTTAACTAAAGGAATCTGTAAATCTTTGTCTAATCTAAATTAACCAGAAGAAAAATTACTGTTTTTGTAGCCATAGTACAAGAAAATGACAAGCTGCCACCTGACACTAGAATGTCCTCTGTTTTCTGAGTCTAAAGAAACAAGACCTGGTCCCCAAGCCAGCCTCCCCACCCTTTTTGCCTGTCAGCTAACTGCATCTTCTTGGCAAAGTAACAGCCCTGTGTTCAATTTCCCTTTTCCTATAAGGATACTTACAGGCCAGCAAGATGGCTCTGCCAGTAAAGGTGTTTGCTAACAAGCTGACGACCTGAGTTCAATCCCTGGGATCCACATGGTGAAAGGAGAAAAACAATCCACTACCACATACACCACATGGTGTACGCACGCACGCACGCTCGCACTCAAGAAACAAGATGAGGAACTCCTGTGCTTGTGCCTGGTACGAAGTAGCTGGGACTGAGGCCAAAGCTGGAGCTGTAGGCAGAGAGAGAGAGAAGCCAAGCTTCCCAGATGCTGCAGGGAAGCTGAGGTAGAGAGGAAGGTATGGAAGACAGACACGTGCACCCCTGGAGACGAGCAAGAAGGACAAAAGCATCATGAGGTAAGGCTACCCAGAGTCCCAGGGCCTTGAGTGCAGGAGAGGGAGGGCGTACCCAGCTCGTCCGTGATGAGGTGTTTCCCTTGAACAGAGTTCCGGCACTGGTTGCTGGGCCGGCTGCTGTTGCCCAAGTTAAACTGGACCTTCCACGGAATGGGCTGTTCACGGTCTTGAACCTGGAGAAGGTTCCGATCTCTCACCGCCCTCTCTTCCTGCAACGAGATGACAGGGGGAAGAGGAAGGTTCAAGGCACTTTGCCTGCGATCTCACTCGCCCTGCTGGAGTCTACACCCCTGCCCCAACCCCACCCCAACGCCTCTGGCATGGGCACTGCACCATTTGAGCAAAGCCACAAAACAAGTCAGCAGGAAAATGTGGCAAGCTACAACTCTCCTCCCCAATGGACCACAATGATATGTGAGGCCCCAGAAGCAGACAAAGGAGTCTACGGAATTCAGAAGAAAACTTCCCTCTGCAGGCAATTTAGGTTTTTAAAAGTGTACACACCATGGAACAGAACATGAAGGCCAAACACTTAGAACCAGGAGGAGACTGTTAGTCTGATCACCTTAGACTGTCACCTGACACCTCTAGTCCACGAGGCCTCAGCCTTGACAAGTACTCATGTAGAAAATCTGAATTGAGGGGACAACTTTAAGGGCGAGACGGAGCCTGGTAATCAGCAAAGGTCTTCCTTTGTGTGAAAACACAGAGCAGCCATCCTTACATCTGCCTCTAGATGCCATTCTAACTACACAGCCCTTTGCCTAGCGAACCAAGAGAGGAGTGGCCCTGGGTAAGAGCCTGGATCTTTCTCTTAGACAGGAGCCACAGCATTAACTAGGAGGACGGAGCCCAGTGGCAGGAATCAAGCCAAGCACAAGGCGGCCACCCTTGGAAGCTCCTAGTTGTGAGTGTATAACCAAACAGCTATAAAGAACCCCCTCCCATTGGCCTGTTTTCAGGTTTTAAGACAGAGCTTCCTATAGTTCAGGCCTGCCTGGAACTCACTGCAATCCTTCTGCCTCAGCCTCCTAAGTGCTGGGATTATAAGTGTGAACCACCATGAGCTGCTAGGTTTGGAGGTCTATAAGACAGAATCTCCCTACACAGCCCTGACTGGCCTCAGGGTCCTCCTACCTCAGCCTCCAGGGGCTAGGATTATAGGATCATGGTGTGAACCACCATGCCTGCTATCTTGATGGCTTGAGTGTTTAAGCATCAGTGTTGCTTTGTGATTAAGGAGACCCCTGTGCATCTGGTGGCAACACAAACAGTTCAGAAAACCAGAATGGATCTTTGTAATTACTATGGGAAAGCAATACGGGAAGTTAGCAATGTCAGACATGTGCACATCCACACACACCTTGCTCTGGGAAACTCCTTAGTGAGGGCCATCCTACAGAAATCACAAGCTGAGGTTTCCCACAACTCTTGTTTCAATAGTAGGAAAACAAAAAAACCAGAAACCCAACAACACAGAAATGTCTGACTAAACACTGGCATGGACAAGGTATCATCAAACCTAGGTTCTCAGGACACCCGTTCCTCCAAAGTGGCTTTTCTTCCTCCACTTGGGACCCCTGTGTGCTCTAGAAATACCACATTACCCTGGATATTCAGGTATACAAACTAGCTATAGACAGGCTGGATAGAGGGCTCATCAGTTACGAGCACTGGCTGCTCTTCCAGAGGACCCAAGTTTGGTTCTCAGAATAGCATTGGGTGGCTCACAACTATAACTCCGGCTCCAAGACCCTCTGACCTCTGTGGGTACCTGCACTCGTGTGCACAGACACATATGCATACACAAATTTACAGTTTAAAAATATTGTTTAAAATTATCTTTAATCATCCTTGGGATGATCTTATTTTTCATTTTATATGAAAACATGCTGATTGTTAACTGGAGGAGAAACTAAATGGTCTGGAGAAACAATACCAGTCCCTGTACATTTCCTGTTAAGTTATCATTATCTTAAGAGAAAAGGCTCACTTATAAAACAACGTTTGTCAACATAAAATTCAGAAATTACCACAGTCCCAACACTTGAATAAAAGTACACTTGGGTTTGGGTTTCTTTTTGTTTCCACATTTTTTCAAGACAGGATTTCTCTATGTAGTCCTGGCTGTCCTAGAACTTGCTCTTTAGACCAGGCTGGCCTAGAACTCACAGAGATCCGCCTGCCTCTGCCTCCCAAGTGCTGGGATTAAAGGCGTGCACCACCACGCACCAAGCAAGTACATTTGGTTTTTGCATGTTCACCTCTGAACTCTATACTGGCATCACCATCAGTCGCTCTTGATGCTAATTGATTGGTTAAAAACTTTCCAAGGACTCACATTATCTAAATAATCAAATCTTCATAGATGCACAATAATCCTTCATGTTGATTTTCCATAATTAAGCAGACATGGCCTCCACAGACCAGCGACAACCCCTGGCTCTTGGGATGACACTGCAGTTTAGTGTGGGGGCTCTGAGAAAGTCCTGTCAATCGCTTGCAGTGATAAGTGCCAGACAGTGACATATAACTTCCCCAAAGTTTGCTCCACCAATGCAGTATCACCAGCATTTAAACACATGACCTCTCTCCTGCTACCATCAGAACCGAATCCCCCTCCTTCAATTTGCTTAGTGTAAAACAGTCCTTCAAGATGGCTTCCCTTTGCCCTGCCTCTCCTTGTTGCTTCATTTAAAAGATGTGGCTAGCAGGCATAGGACAGGACAGGTGACAACTCAGTAGGTGTAGTCCTCACAGAAAGAGAGGGGCCAAGGGCAGGAGCCCAGAGAGGCAGGGACTCCCTCGGGTGCACCCTGCAATCCTACACCCTTAGCTGACAACCAGACAGTGCATCCCAGAAGAATCTCTACCCCGTGACTCTCCAGAACCCGAACTTGTCAAACCTGAATGCTCAAAACCTCTGCCAAGAGGACTGTGGGCGAAGCGTCGGCTGTGACCCACTTTTGAAGTCAGCTGCCAAGTATGCAGAAGGGACAGAAGAAGGAGCAATTCCATCCAGTGGGCTTACCAACAGAGTTCCCGCGGCCCTTCCTCGGCTGTCTCTCTCACCTTCAAGCTTCTCACTAATATGTGCATTTTCTTCATCCAAAATCTATCCAAAGCTGAGTGTGGTGGTGCACACCTGTAGTCCAGCACTCAGGACGCAGAGGCAGGGGAATCTCTGTGGGTTCAAAGCCTGCCAGGACTACACAGAGAGACCCTGTCTCAACAATTTTAAAAAATCCATTCAAAGGGGATTTTTACAAAAGGCGCAGGAATCAGAGTCACCGCCCCCTAGGGTTGTTAGATGTGCACACAGGTCCTCTGCAGAAGAAAGATGGGACCAGCCATGGGCAGAAGCACAGTAGAAAGTTTCTTGGGAGTGTAAGCATCTGCGGAGCCTGCTTCTTAAAAGGCTAGTTAGGAAGCAAGCATGCTGTGTAGGTCTTAAGGACAATTATAATGGTCAAATGAAAGGTGTGTCCCACACAAGTGGTACGGAATTCCCATATATGGCATAGCTGACCTTAAGGAATCTGCATAGGAGTCTCAACCATGGAGGCGATGCAGCCAGAGGGCACTGCAAACATCTATGGTTTGAGAACTGCAGCCTGACAGCGGGGAATCACAGTCGCAAAGAATCATAAAGAATTAAAAAAAAAAAGGAATTTACTTTTATTGTGTGTGGAAGGTGTATATGGCAGCCAGAAGAGGGTGTTGAATCCCAGGGAAAACAGGTCCTCTGCAAGAGCAGCAAGCACTCTTAGCCATGGAGTCCTCTTGCTGGTCCCGAGAGACTTTTGAAAGATGGGGGGGGGGGTCACACTTGTATGTTAAGTGAGGGGACAGTACACCTCAAGTGAGAGAAGTAAAAACATTCCATTTAAAGGGCAGGAAGAAACCACACCTGTCTGTCGCAGTGTCCCTTCTGCTGGTCACCCCTCCTGTGCCCGTGCCATGCTCTGCCAAGTTTGCAGTGAACAAGACTTTGCTGGTAACCCGTTTAAAAGGGGGGGGAGGCAGCTCTCTGTAGTCACACACACTTTATATAATGCCCATGTGGTGTCTGAAAGAGAATGGCCTCCATAGGCTCGTGTATTTGAGTACCTGGTGCCCAGTTGATAAAACTGTTCGGGAAAGGTTAGGAGGCATGGCCTTGCTGCAGGAGGTGTGTCACTGGGGGTCGGGCGCCTCGCTTTCAAAAGCCCAAGTTAGCTGTCTGCCTAGTGGTGATAGATGTGAGCCTCAGCTACTGCCCCAGCGCCAAGCCTGCCTGCAGCCATGCTCTGGCTGTAATAATCCCGGACTCTAATCCTCTGAAACTGTACACCCCAAACAAACTCTTTTATAAGTTGCCTGCAGCAAATAAAAAACAAAAAACAGGACCACAAATAATGTAAGTGGGTGTTGGGGGCTGAAGAGATGGCTCAGAGGTTAAGAGCACCGGCTCAGAGATCCTGAGTTCAATTCCCAGCAACCACATGGTGGCTCACAACCATCTGTAATGAGATCTGGTGCCCTCTTCTGTCATGCAGGAATACATGTAGGCAGATCACTGTATACATAATAAATAAATATATCTTTAAAAAAAAATAAGTGGGCACCAATCTACATAGTAACACACACAATGTAAGTGGGCACCCAATCCAGCAGAAAAGGTTAATGTGGTTTCAAAGAATTCACAGACAGCCCAGCCCTCCAAAGAGCTGTGCCACCTAAGTATAGATGCCCCCAGAGTTGCCCCATCCTGCCATTCCCTGCCCCACCCTGTGCCAGTGTATCTATCACACACCCTAAATCACCGTCTGAAGTCATCTGCCCACCCTCCTCACACTCCGCAGCAGATGGCACGCACCCAGGGAGTAGACCAGTGCCAGCTCCACTGCCACCCCTGGGCACTGCGCTATGCCCAGGTCACCTGGCGCCACTCACCACCCCCAACCCTCTCCCCCGGCGGCATCCTCTCCTGCACACCCGTCTCTAACAATTCAAATTATCCCCTAAAGCATTAATTAGGAAGCAAAGCAAAGAAGAGAGGCATTCAAGGATCCAGCAGCTGTCTGGGCAAAGACTGCTATACGAGCTTGAGATGTCTCACGGATGCAGAGTGGAGGAGCCCAGGGGACGCCTGTGTGGCACGCGCCTCCTCTCCATCTGTGATAAAAATCACCCGGGTGTGTTCCTCTCACAGAAGGGAGGTAGAGCCCGGGCCGGGTGAGACAAGCTGTGCACCCAGCTGCAGGGCGGCCGTCAGCCAAGCCAGAAATCATGTTCAGGACAGTACTGACCCACCAAGGCACGGCAGGCGGGGGCGCGTGTGTGAGAACAGTCCAAGCCACTGAGAACCCAGTTTGAGTTTGTGTCTGCAGATAGGAAATGAAGCATAATTCTGAAAATCTATTTTAAATCAAGTACTTACTAATGAACTCATGACATATTAGCAATTGGTTTTTCTTTTTGAGTTAAAGATATTTTTTTAAAAAATATAAGCTGGGTGCGGTGTGGCACACGCCTTTGATCCCAACACTTGGGAGGCAGAAATAGGTGGAGCTCTGTGAGCTTGAGGCTAGCCTGGTCTACCTAGTGAGTTCCAGGACAGCCAGGGCTACATAGTGAGATGACAGGCCAGAGAGCTGCTGCTGGCCACTGAGTGGACTGAAGCCAGGACAAGAGTCTACCTGTCACAAAGTCTAGGTAGAAATGGAAGGGGAGAGGCTGTGACAAATCTGCCCATGGATACTGTACCATTCCCAACACCAAGTTCTATACCAAAACTTGACAAACGTCCTTCTCATGAGTTTGTTACAGTGTGACCACTGGAAAGCAGCCAGGAGGATCCTCGAAAAGTCATGCAGAGCGCTCCACTTCCGGCCTAGCAGTTCACTCCTAGGCCTGTGTGAGCGAGCGATAAAAACATATCCGCACAAAAACCCACAAAGCGGATGTTCTTTGCCAAAAGATGGAACCCCAATGCCCATCAGTGATGAATGGGCTGATGTGACAGCTACCTACAGGGGAACACTGGGTCAGAGATAGCACAGGTGAGTCTAAGAAGATCACAGCACTCACATCACAGCACTCACATGTGTATATGACCCCACTTTCATGAAATGCCCAGGCTGGGGACAAGAGAAATGGCCCAATGGCTCAGGGGTAAAAGCGCTCGTCACTCAAGTCTGATGACAAGTCTTTCATTCCTAGACCCAGTGGGCCACTGGGATAGCGAGTGAGGGGGCTTGCCTCCAAGCCCGACAACCTGAGTTCAATCCCTGGGGACCCAGGTGACTCGAAGGAAAAACTGACTCCCAAAAGCTGTCCTGACCGCCACATGAGCAGTGTGGGTTATGCACACTCCTGCCTTGCCCCAACACCACACAAGCACACACTCACATAAAAATAAATAAAAATGCAAAACAAAAAAATTTAAACAGGAAGTAGGTTAGAGATTGTTTAGTGCTAAGAGGGAGGGGAAAGTCAATGACAGTGCCCTAAATTGTGACTATGGTAACTGCTGCCTCACCGTGACCTTACTAAAACCACTAGGCTGAACCGCCACTTCAGACGGTGAACCGTATCTTAATGGGCACATTCAGACTCTGAGCACAGCCTGTAGGACTCCCCCACGTACTGTCAGAGAGTCATGTCCTGCTCTGTGAACGGATCTTCACAGAGCTGCCAAATGGTGACACACTTCTGTCACATTGTACGCCCAAACTCACAGTTGTTAACATCACATATATGGAAGTCAACAAGCTCCAGGGAGGAAACAACGTCTCTGAAAATCTGATTTTTAACTTGGAAGCCTATGTTTTATCTCTGACAGTAGAGAATGTTAGAACACCTCTGTGAGGGGGCAGACTCTCTTCATTCAAGCAAAATTCTAGTGAACAACTGTTTAACCAGTCATTCTTTTTTTGGGCTTGGCTAGTGACGTAGTTCCGCCTACGTACGTATACGTCTTTACGTCCAGCCGTATACGTCTTTAGTCCTGCCTAAAGTGGGTGTGGTTAGCGGTGTGGTAAACCGCCCTTTTATTACCTCATCTGTATGCGCCTCTAGTAAGTCACATGTTTAATGGCGGCATCAGACTTCCTCCTACAATTCTTCTAGACGACAATGGGGGTGGGGTGGGGGTGGCTAGTTTAGCTTGTAACTCAGCCAGACTTCAGTATGCAGAAGGCAGCAAGGGCTGCGTGGTGACCCCAACCATAAAATTCCTTTCATTGCTACTTCATAACTGCAAATTTTGCTACTGTTATTAATTGTAATATAAATATCTGAGTTTCCAGATGTTCTGAGATGACCCCTGTAAAAGAGTTATTGAACTCCCAAGGGGTCGAGAGCCACAGGATGAGAACCACTGCTCTGGGGCAAATGCTGTGACTCCTTGGGAAGTGAATAACTTTTTTTACACCACTCCCCCAGCATGATCCCATTTTTAAAAATACTGAACATAGGACGTTAGCTGGTTTACTTCTGTCACCTTGTCACAAATAGAGAACCTCAATTTGAAAATCTGGACCGATCTGTAACACAGTCAGTCACACACCACACCTACTCACTCAAAGAGGCCCAGTCACACTCCAGTTCTGCAAAAATACACGGGGTCTGGGAATGACATGGACGAGCAACATCCAGCCTTTGGCTCCACTTCCCAGATGTGAGGCCAAGCCACAGGGGAAGAAAACAGCCTGAAAACCCAAAAAGGAAGAGGTGGCAACTACAATAACGCCTCAGGCAAAGCAATCCTGATGGCTGCACGAGAGTGCTCCGAGAGCTGCACAGGAGAGTGCTCCAAGAACCAGAACTGAAATACAGGCAGAGGCTCTCCACACCCCTGGGGCACAAGCGGAGGCTGACAGCAGAGGGCTGGCTGGGTGTGCAGAAGTACGCCTTCTACGTCACAGCCTCACAGGACATCCTACCAACTACTTCGAAGACCTGTATGCCACAGGTGACAGAGTCCCAGGGCCAGCTGAGCAGTAGTGGCTACCCAGCTGTAAACTGAACACCCGTCCCCACGCTGGAATGATGCTAAACTCGTTGTGCCCAAGATGACATTAGTGGGTAGTAACTTCTGTAGATCGAGAAGTGGAGCGTCTCCCAGGTAACCAAAATTCCGTGAGGCCATGGAGTGGTACACATTCTGCACTATGCAAGACTAAAAGTCTGTCGACATCTTTTTTTTTTTTTTTTTTTTTTTTTTTGGTTTTACGAGACAGGGTTTCTCTGTATTGTTTTGGAGGCTGTCGGTCCAGCCTGGCCTCGAATTCACAGAGATCTGCCTGCCTCTGCCTCCCGAGTGCTGGGATTAAAGGCGTGCGCTACCCACGCCCGGCCGTGTCGACATCTTATATTGCTTCCTATGCTGGATTCCAGCTCTCTAGGAATTCTCACTCGGCACAAAAAATGAAAAGATTAAGGAAAAAAAATCTACCCAACCAAGGTGTGCACAAAAAGGGGGCCCGGGTCACCCAGGTGGACACAGCAAAGAGCCCCTGGCCATTTCCTGGCCTAGCCATATCTACTTCCTGCCCACCATTCATCAAGAGACTTGGAACCCTGCAGAGCAGGGAGGGTACCTGAGGATGAATGGCTGGGCACAGGTCTGAGTCTCTGCTCTGCCTGGCCTACCAGCCGGGTCTACATAAAGGTATGGAGGGTACAAGGGCCTGCAGTGGAATTGTCCCCCTAGCTGACCTTCCATACAGCCTTCAGTGTACTAGAGGCTAAGAAGGGGGAGTCAGAGGGCAGGAGAGAGGAGTACCAGACAATCAGAGGGAGGACTACAGGGTTGAGGACCAGAGGACAGAGGATGAAGGAGGGGGAGGAGGGAAGGCCTAAGGATCAGTGGGAGGAGTACTGGATGATCCAAGGACTTAAAGGAAGTGAATCAGAGGCTTGGAGGGAGGACAGAATGGCTGCATATCGTAGGGAGAAGGACTACCAGGTGGAGGACTGCAGGGAGGAGTATCAGAGGACCAGAGGAGAAAGAGGGGACATAGCATCAATCGGGGCCGGAGGGAGGAAGTTTGAGGGCTGATGATCAAGGATGGAGGGTGGGAGGGAAGAGGGTTGGAGGAGGGCAGAGGAGGACGGAGGATGGGAGGGAGCCAGAGAATCAGAGGAAGAAGGGATGGAGGATGGGGACGGAGGGCGGGAGGGGTATAAGGGGGGCAGAGGAAGACAGAGGATCTGAGGGAGGAAGGCTGGGGGAGAACGAAATGAAAGGTCAAAAAGAGGAGCGCTGATGGAGGACGAGGGAGGGAGGAAGAAGAGCTGGGGGATAGGAGGAAGGAGGACTAGAAGAGTATAGGAAATGGGGAGGAGGTCTGGGGGAGGAGGACAGAGCATCTGAGGGAGGAGGGCTGGAGAGGGAAGAAGGATGAGAAGGACAGAGGTCCCGAGCGCAGTCGCTAACCTGCTTGAAGGTGCTGCTGAGGAAGTAAACCAGCGAGAGCCCGAAAACCAGGGCGAGCACCCAGCGCTTGCGCAGGAGACGGCGCCACAGCAGCGCCGCAAGGTTCAGCATCCCGGAGCGGCGCAGGCGCAGAGACGACCCCGCGGCATGACCCCCTAAATTCGCTCCTAACACGGCCCAGCCTTCCCGCACCAGGCGCGCCGGCCACGTGATCCGCCGCACGCTCCACCCCGCCCAGTGACGCCACCGCCAGGCCCCCTCCATGCACCCTCGCCATTGGTCCCTGTGGAGCCACGGCTTTCCATTGGCTGAATTCGGAGGCAGGGGCGGACCGTCGCAGACCAGAGGAAGGCATTGCTGTGCCTGGGTCCTAGCGCCGTTATCTCGCCCTCAGGTTGAGCCGGCCGGAAGTCACATGCCGCGCGGGCCGCGCCAGTGATTGGCTGGGCTGGATTAACAGAGGCCCTGATTGCTGAAGTATCTGTCAGGTAAACCAAGGCGATGCTCTCCCGTCGCTACCCTGCCGCCCTGCAAACCCGGCTAGAGAGGTTTCCCCTGTGGGCGCGGTGCGGCCCTGGACCGGCCTGGGGATGTCGCTTGAGCCCAAGCGTCCTGTAGGGTCGGTGTGGCCTCATAGGGAGGGTCAGGGTGTGTGGAACCGAGACGGTTCATTCATTCATTCTATTGCACTTGCGTGCAAGATATGAACCAGGATTTGATATTAGAATAGTTGTATCGCCTGTTTCCAGCAGGGTCTTGGGCACTTAATTTAGGACGTTGTGTCAGGCTTGTAGATGGAAACTTGGCGATGCTGTGTTTTCTTTTCCCCGGGGATGAGTACTTGGGCCAGGGGGAGTATTAGGCCTATTTTGAAGTTCTTGGGGACATGTTACATGATGACATTTCCTTCCTTTATAAAGATGGTGGGATCGAGGGTGTAGCTCGGTGACAGAGCGCTTGCATACATATGACGGTGATGGCAAGGAGTTTTTTCCCAGCTAATTTAGCCTTCCAAAAATGGTAAGCGACTTAGCTGGTGGCGTCCTAGCTTGGTGGTCCTGAGGAGGCTGTGCAGAAGCCCTTCAGGAGCCAGTTGTGTTGGCCTGGGCTAAGAGATGGTCTGTGTGGGGAAAATACTCCACGAAGCTGAGCCTGCCTGTTCTTGGAAGCATATCCTTAATCTCTTTAAAGTTGTTTTTATTCTTTAATTGAGTGTGTGTGTGGTTTTGTGCAGGTGAGTGCAGGTGCCCTCGGAAGCCAGTAGAGGGAGTCAGCTGGAGTTACTGGTAGTTACCCTCACCTGGAAAAGCATTCCGTGGGAGGAACGGCAAGCATGAAGGCCTGGAGCCAGGGAAAGCCTGACTTTAGAGTGTCTGGAGGTGACAAACAGAAGTGAGGTTGTAAACAGTGGTGGTGTTTCAGGCACAACCCGAGGACTGTGGTTTTACTGGGAAGCCAGTGGAAGTTTTAAAATGGTTATCTGTAGTCCCCAATCAGGATTCATGATTTTCTTTCTGCCAGTCTGTGTGTGTGTGTGTCTGTGTGTGTGTGTGTGTGTGTGTGTTTGCACATGCGCACTTGTGTATAGGATTGCAAATGTGTGTGGATGTGCATATGCATGTGTGGAGACCAGAGGTCACCCTCGGTATCATTCCTTGGGAACCAGCTACCTTATCTTATTTTACTTGAGATAGGATTTCTCACTGGGACCTAGGACTCATCAGCTAGAAGGACTGGACTAGAAAGTCCCAGGAATCCTCTGGTTTTTGCTTCCCCGGTGCTGGGATTATATGGTGCATCACCGTGCCTGGCTACTTACAGAGGTGCAGGGACCAAGCTCCAGTCCTTATGCATCTGTGGCAAGCACTTTATCAACAGAACTGTGCTATGGCTCCAACCCCCAGGATTCATAGATTGCTAATAAGACAAACCTATTAAGGCCATAACCTGCTGTAAGTGCCTCAGAGCAGGGTACAGAACTATTGCGCTACAGAACTATTGCGCAAACTGTTACAGTTACCAGTTGTATCCCCAATTTATTACATGACACAAGTCACCCCATGGCCTCTTCACCCAAGTGCTTTGTGCCACCCAAGGTCTGATGTCTTGGAGGAGCCCCTGCCCTGCGCTTCCCTCTGAAGAGGAAGAGGAGAAGGCCTGCTCTCTCTGGGATCCAGTGACCATATCACATCAGGAACCCCGAATGTCCGCGGCACATTTCGTCAACATGGAGTTCTGAAGTCCATGTGGCTCCTTGCGGTACACCAGGTGATGTGTGTCTCTCCATGGGAAATGTGCGACAGGGAAAGAGGCTTTCGGTTTGAGGGTTCCATCCCCTCCTGCGGGACAGATGGGGAGTGTCGGAGGCCACAGAGAAGTTTCTGGTCCATCTGAGGTCACATAGCAAGTTGAAGGATGTCGTCTGCAGTTCACTGCACCCCCATCTAGCCCTGGCTGCAGTCTCCTTAGTTATTTTCTCTTTTGCACAAGGGCCACCTCTACCTGGGGCTCTCAGGAACCTCCCTGTGAGATGGGGATAGAACTGTGGTTTGGAAGTCACCAGAGAGCCCTAGCCCTGTCATGTGAGAGTGATACTTATTTACAGTTACTATGGCAACAGGCAAGGGGGCGTGTCAGGGGATGTGGCTCACATATGTGTTGGTTTTCAGGTGCTAAGGAAAATGCAGAGACGACACAGTAGCAACACGGACAACATTCCACCTGAGAGGTAAGAGTTTACCCGCCCCCACCACCACGCACACACAACTTTCTTCCATATGGGGACCCTAGGCTCTGGATGGCAAAGTGAGCAATACCTGCTTCTCAAAATTAGTTGTTGGAGACATAAAACAGACCCAACAGAAAAATCACTTGACGGCGTATTTGCCAGACTTGAGTTCCTCTAAGAACACACCCTCCACCCCAGGCAGATGATGGCTTTATAAAGAGAAAAGGAGGCTGGGAGAGAGAGCAAGTGTCTAGGCTGGCTCAGTGGCCGCCTTTGACCCCATCGCCTGGCATCACGATGGTAGTGGTGGTTGGCTGCGTGTGTAGGCGGGGAGCGATTTGCTTCCCAAACATGGCAGAGAGGACCAGGTAGAATCCTTGGAGGATAAAGTGCTTGTCAGGCAAGCCTGAGGACCAGAGTTTAGATTCCTAGAACCCATATAAAGACTGTGGGTTAGGCTTAGCAGTCACCTGGAATCCCGGGAGCCTTGGTAGGCTTAGTACCTGGGAGTCAGAGACAGAGCATCTCTGGGCAACCTATATGGATAGACTGGCGGGAATCAGCTTGCTCTGGGTTCAGGGAGAGATGCTGCCTGAAGGAATACAGTGGAGAGCCGTGCTCAGCTCAGGCTGTGCTCCTCCACATGCCCTGCACACCCTCAAGGACTAAAGACCTCCACTAGGCTCCACCTCTTAAAGGCCCACGGCACCCCTAATAGCAGGCCCCATGACCCCTGCCTTTACAGCAGCACCTCAGGGGATTTGACCTAAACCACGCAACAGGGGACAGCCTTGCAGTGGCAACTGACACAGAGCAGCTGCATTGTCTTAGGGCAGTTCTCAAACCTGGTAAGAAGGATCCATGTGGATCCTTGGGACTCAGACCAGTGATGTTCCTGCATAGAGATGCCTGGCCTCCGCTAGCGGCTACTGCACAGCACAGGCACACACAGCCTGCCTCTTGCCTCACAGGCTTCCATCACCAGGCTGCAAGTCCAAGGTCAAGGAGCTGGCAGATCTGTGCCTGCTGAGGGCTGCCTCCTGCTTCCTAGATGGCTGTGTGTAAACCATTGAGTTTATTGGGGGTCACTTTCCGGGGTAGCACATGCCTTTAATCCCAGCACCTGGGAGACAAAGGCAGGCAGATCTCTGTAAGTTTGAGGCCAGACTGGTCTACAAAGCTACACAGAGAAACCCTGTCTCAAAAAAAAAAAAGCCCACCAGGGGTGGAAATCACAGCAGCTGTTATGCTGGAGTCCTCCCTTCAGGGGACCTTCTAGCATGTACATATATATATACACACACACACACACACACCAGCTCCTCCAGGGAGGAGGGACCAGGAGCAGCTGTGGGGGAGGGGCTAATGACCTTCCTTCCCACTTTTCTCTCTGTGAAGCCCAATCTTGTATGGATTGGGTGCAACTGTCCTGATTTCAGGACGGGAGCAGCCACACCTTTATCCAGTCTCAGGCATTTTGTCATCAACATGGATAGTGGACAGATGCACCAGCTGCTTCTGCCTTTGGCAGGAAGCGACACCTCTAGGTCTCAGTTTCTCTAACCATAGAAAGATGATAAATGTCAGAGCTGCTGATGGATGAAGGAAAATGTAGCCCGAATAATACAAACCCAGAGACAGGTATCAGGGTTAAAACTGAAGGTCAGAGAAACAAGGCAGCCAGCCACTAGAGAGTTCTCACCTGTAACCATGCTCAGACAGAAGGGTGATCCTGTGACTGCATCTCCAGACTGCATCTGTCTCCATCATCCTCAGACTGCACTGAGCTCCTGTTTCCCCCTGAATTATATTCCTCTCTAGTGCTGGGAGTAAAGGTGTGGGGATCCCAAGTGCCGAGATCATGTTTGTGTGAGCTCTGTTTCTCTTTTAGACTGGATCAATTTCGTGTAGCTCAGGGTGGCTTTGAATTAACACAGAACTGTCTGCCTCTGCTAGGATTAAAGATGTGTACCACCACTGCCTGGCTGTTATGGCTAACTAGTGTGGCTGTTGGGATTAAAGGTGTGTGCCACCAGGGCCTGGCCTCTGTGGCTAACTAGAAGGCTGTCTTTGCCCTCTGATCTTCATGCAAGCTTTATTTGTTAGATCACAAACAAAATATCACAGGAACGTGTCTTCATGAGCACAAGGATGCACAGACGCAGTATGTACCTTAACAGTTAGTCTGCCAGCTGGGATCTTCTGAGCTGAGATAGCTTGGCTGTTGAGTGAACCCAGACATCTTTGGAGGCAGAAACTGTGGCAGAAAAATACTGTCCAGTGTGCATTATGGACATGCTCTGTGCCTCGGGTAGAGCAACCCGAAGATGAGAGACTGAAGTTCAGAGAGGGCAAGTCAATTAGCTAAAGTTACATAGTCAGGAAATGGCGGGGCTAAGATTTGATTGTTCCAATCAGATTTTGCACCTTAACTTTTAGTCACATGACGTATTTATTTGGGTGGGGTGCCTGTGTTGTGGCATGCATGTAGGTCAGTTTGTGGGAGTCAGTTCTCTCATTCCGCCATGTGAGTCCCAGGTTATCAAGCTCAGGTTGTCAGTGTTGTTGGTAGACACCTTTACCTGTGAAGCCATCTTATGGGTCTCTTTTAGACGCCATATTTTACCTTCTTCTATCCAAATGGATCCATTCCCCTGGGCTCTCTAAGCTGTTGTCCTTAAGTGGTTAAGTTGGAAGTGCAGCTCCAACCCCACAAGGAATATTCTTTCCCATTTCGGCTACAGTCCCAACTGGATACAGGAGAGGAGCTGAAGGGAGGGAGGCCAATTTAAAAAAAAAAAAAAAGCCCTTGGTGGGTTGAACTTTCCCTAGTTGTTCAGAAGTTCCCTGGAGTCCCGGGAACTCAAGTGAGCTCAGGGATTGTGGGAGGCTTTCCAGGGTCCCCTGGGATGGCAGGGTCATCCACACAGGCCTGGGCACCTGACAGAATGTGTGCTTTCTGAGCCAAGCTCTTGAAATGCAGAGAAAGCTCAATCCCTTGGAGACACATAGCCATGGTGCCTGTTGTTGTTGCCACTAATAGCATCAATATTTTTATCCAGAGCCCAAGGGAGGAGGACCACACAGTTCCCAGACTTTGGAGCCACCAGGGAGGGGGCCCGGTGGGGAGAGTGATGAGGTAGCCATCTTCAAGCTGTTCCAGGGTTAGGACGATGTACCCTGAAGTCCAGTTTGTGAAGGAAAGAGCCCTGCGACTTCTCCAGACCACCCTGTCCCTAGCCATGCGTCTCACTGTCCTGTACAACACTGATAGGTTTTCCAGGGGTGAAAACAATTCTGTGATCAAATGAGTTATATAAATACCAGGCTCAGGCAAATGCTTTAAATATTTTTTTTCCTTCTGGAGACAGGGTTTCTTTATGTAGCCTTTGCTGCCCTGGAACTAGCTCTAACGCTCTCACTCGTTCCTTCAGACAACGATGGTTGAGCATGTTCTGTGCAAGACACATTGTGCTTTACCGCAGAGGTACAAAAAAAGGGAGTAAGCAGCCAAGTTTGTCCCTGTCACTGCATGCTGGACTCTCCAGGGGATTTGAGAAGTTGGGGTACAGGGCCCACTCCCAAAGATTTTGATGCGTTTGGTCTTTGATGGGTCTAGGCCACCTGCAGTTGTCCTGGGCTCCCCACAGTGATGGCAGCACACAGCCAGGATTGGGGGTGTTGGGTCTGTAGGGAAAGGCAGGCAATAAGCTGACCACTGAGATCAGCCCCCTGCAGGCAGGCACTGCGTTTAGTGAGAGGAGGCCACAGCCTTCCCATCATGGGCATGTGTCAGCTGACATCTGATGGAGGCAGGATGAGGCAACCTACATGGGGTGACGTAGGGCTAGGGGACAGTGTAGTGACCACAGCAGCCTGAAGCAGGAGGCCCTTGAGAGGTGAGAAGTCCAGTGTGAGCTTGGAGTTTAGGGTGCTCCTCTGGAGCCTCAGTTTCTGTCTGTAAAATGGGAACGCTCTTTGCTACCTGTCTCTAGGACTTAGCAGAGTCTCCTAGAAATATAGCCTGGGAGCTCCTTGGAGGGCTTTTAGCATGATAGGGAAATAATCAAATATATATATGAGATAAGTAGAGACTGGATGGCTCAAGGTCAAGTCCAAACGCAGCTTTTATGGGGAGTGGGGTGCTTGAGAAATCCCGGTGCTGGGATATGGCTCAGTGGGTGCAATGCTCGCCTCATCCAGGAAGCCCTGTTGACCTCCAGCACTGCATAAAACCTGATTACAACTGTAATCCCAACACTTGAGAGGTGTAGGCAGGAGGATTTGGAGTTCAAAGCCAGCCTCAGCAACATAGCAAGTTTGAGGCCAGCTTAAGATAGATGAGACCCTGCCTCAAAAATATACATAAATGTAGGTTCTAGAGTTGGTCCACCTGGGACCAAACCCTTGATTCTTATCCCTCACCAGCCATTCACCTCTGACCAACTGCCTGTGTCTGTGTGTGCCTCCATTGGTTTATTTGTGAAATGGGGATATTGTGTATACCTAACATAGGTAGTGAGAGGAGTTCATGAGTCAAAGAAACACACTGGACCCCCAGCTTTACCACTGAGCAACAGTCTTCAGCCTTCTTCCTGCTTTCTCCAGACAGGGTCTCACTAAGTTGTCCAGCCTAGTCTTGAAGTTAGGGATCCTCCTATGTTAGGCTCCCAAGTTCTGGGATCACACGCCTATTAGAGCTAGTGCCACTGATGGCTTCACCTGCAGGGACTTGCTTTCTGGAGTCTCCCTTCCTGACCTGCTGTGTGGCTGTCCTGATCTCTCCTCAAAGGGAGATCTGTCATACTGGATCGGGGTCCACTATTTAAAGAACCTGCCCCTAAATAAGGTCATATTCTGGAGTTCGAGGGCTTAGCACTACCTCCAACATTTTGAGGGGAGACACAGTTGGGTCAGTCACATTGTTGGTACTTTGAACCCATCCCCTGAGGGCTCTGTTTTTCTGTCTCATAACTGTTGATAAGTTTTTCTGTTGCAAAAACAGACCCCTCCGGGGTGGGTAAAGTGATAGAGAAAGGAGGTATGCTGCATTCACAGTTCTGGATGTTTGTGATGTATTTGGCCATCCGCTTCTTTCTGGTTAACTCTCTCTTCCCTCAAGACTCCCAGGATTCAATCCTGGGGATTATCCTTAGCTACCTTATCCAGTTGTAATTGTGCAGACCCTCCTCTTTAGACACCATAGTGGAGTTAAGTCTTCACCCTCCCAGCACAGAGATTAAACTGCAGTCTGAGTTTGGGACCAGGTCTCATGTGGGCATTGTCTGCCATCCTGTCCTGCAGAAGCCGCAGCCAGGCGCTCAGCCCCGAGGCCAGCGTGGATGAGGGTGGTGTATTTGAGAGCCTGAAGGCAGAGACCACCTCCCCTCCTGCACTGTTCTCAGGCCTGGCAGGTGGCCTGCCTGCCAACCCCTTCCCAGCAGGCCTGGTGCTGGGCTCCACAGCAGGTGGCGGGGACGTGTTCATCCCCATGCCAGCCACCAGGGATGAGGCCGGTGGCCGCAGCACCGAAGGAAGCAGCTACCACCATCGCCAGGCCCACCATCACTTCCACCATGCTGCCCACCGAGGGGGCTCCCTGCTGCAGCACGTGGGTGGGGACCACCGTGGGCACTCGGAGGAAGGGGTCGACGAGCAGCCAGGGACTCCGGCACCCGCACTGTCCGAGCTGAAGGCTGTGATCTGCTGGCTGCAGAAAGGACTGCCCTTTATCCTCATTCTGCTGGCCAAACTGTGCTTCCAGCACAAGCTGGGTAAGTCCTGTGGGCCCTGAAACTCCAGGAAAGGGCTCGGCATGCCCAAAGCCAGGGCCAGACAACAGAGGCACTATGGTGCACCATGCTTGAATACATGTGGGGAGTTCTGAGTCAGGCCTGGGTTCAAATTCCAGCCCAATTGTATGATCTGGAGCCAATGACCTGGCCTCTCTGACCCTCGGTTTTCTCCTCTGTCCAGTGGGGTTGAGATTGAAACCTCTTTAGCTGGTCTCTTGGTAGGATGGAAAGAGCAGTATGGCGTAATTAAGAGCTCAGGTTTCAGGGGTTGGAACCACAGCTCCAGCCTGTCCAAACTGTATGACACTGGGTGTTATTTAGCTCTCTGCCATGGTTCTGTGTGTCTTCCAAATAGGGGTTAAGTATAGACAGCTGTTCCTCTCTGTCCCCAATTCTGCACCTGTGGATTCAAACAACTACACATGGTACATTCAAGGAAGAACTGGGGGTGGCTTTACGAAGGAACATGCATGCCCGTAAGCATGGGGGCTTCTGTTCAATCACTAGTACCCATGTAAACAGCCAGGTGCACACCTGCCACCCCAGCACTGGGGAGGCAGTAACCAGAGAATCCCTGCAGGTCATAGTCTCCAAAGACTAAGATGGAGGATAACTGTGAGAGATGTCAGTGTGTAACCTCCAGGTGCATGTACACATGTGTGCACACATACAAAGACCCAACATTCAGGAAGAAGGGAGTGTCTGTATTGAGCATGCCCAGACCATATTCCGTCCACAGTACAGTATAAGGTGTTTCTGTTACAGTGTGCATAGAGACAATATAACAAAGGAAGCTGTGTGTAGGTTTTATGCAAACACTGTGCCATTTCATGTTCAAACTGAAACAACCACAGGTTTGGGTGTCTATGGGAACCCCAGAGCACTTCCCACAAATGCTGAGGGTGACTGTACTTCATGGTATCACATGAGACTTTATTTGAGGTCACATATGTAACACATATGGTGGAAATACTCTGCAAGTGTGTGGTTATCTTTGTGTTTGTTATTGCCACACATTTAAATAACCAGGGCCAGCAAGATGGCTCAGCAGGTAAAGGTGCTTGGCACCAAACCTGATGACCTGAGTTCAGTCCTCCAGACCCATGCAGAGAACTCTTTCCTACAGGTTGTGTTCTGACCATCAAACACACACACACACACACACACACACACACACACACCTACCTGACAGAGCCTGGCACATAGCAGGTACTCAGTTAGTATGACAGGGACTTGTGTAGTACTTAGTCAATTACCTAACACATACTCACCATTTCTTGATAGTCTCTGCAGTGTTGATGGTGCCACTCTTCCCTGCAATACTTACAGACCATGACTCAGTTACTTCCTCCCATACAAGACAATTTCAAGGGCCATCAAGGTGGCTCATTGGGTATAGGTGCTTGCCTTACATGCCTGATTTCCTGAGTTTGATCCCCAGAACTGGTGGTGGAAGAAGAGAATTCCTGAAGGTTATCCTACCCTCCATACATGTACATGTGAGCTTGTATTAATGTACTCACACATAATAAAACAAGAAAGAAAGAAAGAAAGAAAGAAAAAAAGAAAGAGAGAAAGAAAATCTCAAGATGAGACCATCTTTTGTTTCTTATTGTCCACCCTCAGGGGAGTTCCAGCCAACTGTGTCACCCCCTCCTTTCTGGAACTCCAATATCACTCCCTTCCCTGCTGTTCCTAGACCTAGAAGCCAGCATGTCCTCGAGTCTTATCCTGCATTCTGCCAAGCTTATGTCTTAAGGGTTTTTTTTTTTTTGCTTTGTTTTACTTGTTTTTTTGCAACAAGGTCTCATTTGTAGCCTTGGCTGTCAGTATAACTGTGTACATTTGTTGCCGAGCTCGAACTTGTAGCAGTCCTCCTGCCTCTGCCTCCCCAACACTAGAATTCTAGACAGTTGCAACCATTCCTGGCCTTGCAGCTATGTGATGGAGTGTCGTCGTTGTCGCCGTTTCTATCAGTTTGTTTGAGATGAGGGTCCTTTGTAGCTCAGCAGACATCAAACTTGGTGTCCCTGGCTCAGCTTCTTCAATGTTAAGGTCATAAGTAGGACAGGTGTGCCCCACAATGTCCAGCTTCAGAGAACATGTGGTTGTTTTTAATTTACATTTGTCTATTTAATGCGTGTGTACATGTGCACAAAAATATGTGCAATAGCACCTATTTGGAGGCCAGAGGACATTTTTCAGTTGTCGGTTATGTCTTTCTGCAGTGTGGGTACTGGGGATTGAACTCAGGTTGTCAGGCTTGGCAGCAAGCCCCTTTACCATCTGAGTCATCTCCAGCCCTGTTTATTGTTTAATCCAAAAGAAACGTATTTAAAAAAGAAGAAAGAAACAAAAAGGACTAGTTACTATTCTTACCTGTTTCTAATGAAGAGAAACGCCTCTATTTGGTCAATCTGAAAGAGTTCTAGAGAAAATCTAGCACTAAAAATCAGTCCTAAGCCAGTCATATCTTAATCCTGTGGGAAGTAACGTAGTATGATTTGACAGTCGTTCAAGTCATTCCACAGGAGCGATCCCAGGCTTCAGACCTGGACAGAGTGATTACATGAGTTGTGGAGTCCACTTCAGTCCCATTCTCCCTTCTGCCTGATTCCAGAGAGTTTCATCTTCTCCCTTAGCATTGTTTGGCTTCCTTGTGCCTCCTGTGTCTGTATTATAAATAACTTGAGGATTGTTCTAGAGTAGACATGGTTATACATCCTGCAGAGTCACTGCTGGAGAGGTTACCTGTGTGCACTGCCCTTCTGTGAGGTGGGTTGTTAGCTGTCTGTCTGTCCATCACACAGAGGATGGAACTGGGGCTCAGAGAGGGACAGTGACTTGCCCATACTCACATAACAGAAGGGACAGAACTGGAATTTGAACTCTGGTCTGACCACACCACACAGCTCTCTCTCTCTTTCTTTGACCCCTCTAAATAGCATTCTTGCTGATGTGCCTTGTAGCCTAATCCCTGAAAACTGGTCTTTCTCCCCTCAATTCTTAGCTTGCCAACTCCAGGGACATGTTGGATGATTTTTCCCCAGCATTACTCAGGGTCTTGGGCTAGGTTGGAGAGGTCTGTGTGGGTGGCAGTCAGCATGTCCCTCATGTCACCCTGTGCTTCCTACAGGCATTGCTGTGTGCATTGGGATGGCCAGCACCTTCGCCTATGCAAACTCCACCCTCCGGGAGCAGGTGTCCTTAAAGGTGAGTCCTGCTTGGCTGCCAGAGTGATTGATTCCTGTCTCACAGCTATGCAGACTTGAGATCTGACACAGGTCTGTCTAGGTCAAGGTCAGAGTAGCTAACAAGGTGGAAGGTGAGGACCTACACTCAGGGTTGTCCTCTGACCTCCACATGTACACTGTGGTGTGTGCACACCTGTAGTTATGAATACATACATCTTTCTCTCTTTCACACACACACACTCACACAATTAAAAAAAAAAACAATTCTACTTATTGTCAGACCCACAGCAGGTGCCTTGGAGCTGTCAATAGCTCCATTCACCTTCAGGCCCACAGCAGGTGCCTTGGAGCCATAGGCTCCTCTCTAGAAAAGGGGTTCCATTGCCCCCCAACTTAGGAGACCTCAAGTTCCACTAGCTCATCTTTATGACAATGACAAAGCAACACATTCGTTTGGCTTGAGCTGGTCTTGGAAGCTGCATCTTTAGTCCCAGGATTCAGAAGGGTGTACTGGAAGATCTGAAGGCCAAGAGTTCCAGGCCCACTCCTAGCCAGCCCAGAGGGGTGACTACCAACATGGTCCAATGCGTTGGGCTACTAAGCAGGGCTGTTCAGGAGGCTGGGTATGTCCAAAGTATTGTCATTGATTATTTTCAACTTGCAATGAGTACCTCAGAACATGCCATCTTAAGTCAAGGCACTCTACCAACTCAGACCCTTCAAAGCGATTAAATAAGATAAAGCGTAGAAGGAGTCGAACATGGTACCTGGCCTATAGGAAATGCTAAATTGAACTGTTTTGCAAATCTGCTTTATACAGAGCAGGTGACCCTGTGACAGCACCTGTATTCTACCCAAAGCATGGATGCATCCATGGCCCCCTATGCATGTGAGATCCAGGGTTAGAGATGACCCTCTGTCTCATCTTCATGCAAACCCATCTGACAAGAAAACTACAGAGTGACCACCCCCATAGAAGGGGACTTGGGGGACTAGACCTGTGTCAACGCAATGTCATGGTGCCTGGGCTTAGGTGTTAAGGGCTGAGAGGATGCCTATCCATGGGTAAGCCTCCTGGAATACTTAAGTTCCTTGAATACACAGATGAGTTATGTCTACACAAACATATTTTGTTTTGAGGCAGGTGTGTATGGAGGAGACATAGCCATGCAGCCCAGACTGGCCTCTAACTCTCTGCATAGTTCTGGTTGGGTTTGGTTCCTCAGTCTGAGTGCCAGGATTACACACTGTACAGGCATGTTTTCTTTTCTGTGAACATGGATGCCGTGACCAGCCTTAAGCTTAGGAATCGGCTTCTTCTTGTCCTTTAGCTCCTGCCTTTGTGGGGCCTTCCCAAACTAAGCTGGGAGCTGTCATTTATTAGGTGCATGTGTGTGGAGGCCAGAGATCAGCATCTGTGTACTCCATACTGTCTCCCTCCATTGCTGCCCACCTTATCTCTGGAGACAGGGCCTCTCATTGACTGGACAAGGATGGCTGCCAGTGAGTTCCAGGGAACACTGCTGTCTCAGCCTCCCCAGTGAAACTAAATGTACCACCACATCTGGCTTCTTCCATGGGTGCCAGGGAATCAAACTCATGCTGGTGCAGCTAGCACTTACTGAACCATCTCCTTGACTCCTGGAATAGTGGGAGGGTTGAGATAGGTCTGTCTGCTCCTCTGGAAATGTGCATTGCAGCAGAGCACAGGATTCCGGGTCAGGTCTGAGACGGTGTGAGCAGAGCATTTACCAAAATGACAAGGGTCAGTGGGAAAGCTATGACCTCATCTGTGCCAATAGAGCAGCCACCTTGGTCCAGGAAGAGACTGGCTTTGGAGGGTCAACGGCACAGGGATCTGCCTCCCAGGGCACTGGGGCAGGAGCATGCCCTTCTCTGCAGACTCTAGATGTGTTCTGGGATCGCTGTCAGGCCCAGGAGCTGCTGGGCAAAAACAAAGGAGCCTTGCGCCTTGTGTATGTGAGAGACAGGGAGTCACTATGTAGACTAGGCTAGCCTCAAACTGTCAGAGATTTGCCTACCTCTCTCTGCTGGGATTAAAGGCATGGCTACCACTCCCAATTTTCATGACCTAACTTTTTTTTAAGATTATTTATTTCATATACAGTGTTCCGCCTACATGCCAGAAGAGGGAACCAGATTGAATTGTAGATGGTTGTGAGCCACCATGTGGTTGCGGGGAATTGAACTCAGGACCTCTGGAAGAGCAGTCATTGCTCTTAACCTCTGAGCCATCTCTCCAGCCCATGACCTAACTCTTAGCTGAACCTTCATCTCCAAATGATGACTTTGAGCAAGTTACTTCTTTGTTGTATATTGTTTTGTTTAATTTTTACTAATTTATTTCCTTGGGTGGGACACATGTCACAACATCTGCATGGAGGTCAGAGGACAACTTTCGGGACTTGGTTCTCTCCTTCCACTGTGTTGGTCCTGGGATCCAGCTCAAGTCCCCAGGCCTGATGGCAAGCTCTTGTACTGCAAAGCCATCTCACTGGCTCTGACTTGCTTGTTCTGAGACTTCTGATCCTCCCGCATCTACCTCTGAGAGATAGGATTACAGTTTCGGACCACCATGCCCAGTGTGTGTCTGGTTCTTAACAGCAGTGGACACTTGTGCCAGGCACTCCAGGTAGTGTATGCACACTCATTCAACCTGTGAGATAGTTGCTGCTATGGACCTATTTAAGTAGCTTGCCCAGGGTTGGGCAGCTCCCAGGTGGCTTGGAACCAATGGGAGTATGTCAAATGCAGGCGAAGGGTATTCAACTAGCCCTTGTCACTCCAGAGTCTACTATGAATGTAAGCTCTGACTTTCCTAGATGGTTCTCCAAGGAGGCGTCAACTTTCCTGTCACCTTCTGTGTGTCTGCTCCATGAGTCCCAGTGAACCAGAAAGACGCCAGCAGCCTTCCCTCACTGCCAGCTCCGCTTCCTTCAAAACAGTGAAGTTTCCACTCATCACAGAACATTCTAGAAGGTCCCACTGTATGCACTACTGGCTTCACTGCGTGGTTCTTTTACTTTGTATGCAGGAGAAGAGATCGATTCTGGTCATCTTGTGGATTCTGGCCTTCCTGGCAGGGAACACGCTGTATGTCCTTTACACCTTCAGCTCCCAGCAACTCTACAGCAGGTGAGGGGGGCATCTCTGGCCATGGGGAGCACAGGTGAGTGCTGAAAAGGAACAAGGACACCAGCCTCAGGCCTTCATTAAAAACTCAGATTCCACCTGTCATTGTGCATGCACGCACGCACACACACACACACACACACACACACACACTCACTCATACATACTCACACATACTCACACACACTCACACACACTCACACATACTCACACACACTCACACTCACACACTCATACACACTCACACACACACACACACACAACACCAGTGGCTATGCACCTTTACATTTTCCAATTGTCACATGAGGAAGAAGAATAAGACCACGTGGAATTAATTTTAGTAATAATTTTATTGAACTATCGACTTTCCATAGCTGTGGATTCTGCACCTGTGTAGCAGTAACCACAGATAAAAAATACTCAGGAAACAGTTAAGTTGGGACTGAATGCATGCAGGCCTTGTGCTGGTTGCTCCTCCTTGAACCATACAACAGGACAGCTATTTACATGATATTTACATAGTATTTGCATAGTATTGGGCTCTAAGGGTCCTTAAAGTCTGGCTGGTGAAGGTGTGTGGGATTGTTTGCAAATCATAGACAAGAGTCCTTAGATTTGGGCATCTTTGGGACGCTCTAGAACAAATCCTCCACAGGCACCTAGGGATGACTGTGTATCCAAAATATTACTTAGATACAAAAAGAAGCTGAGGCAGGAGAATTTCAAGCTGGAGAAACTATGGGCCACATAGTTAAAACCTTGTCTCAAAGGAGAAAGGGAGGTAGGGAAGGGGAGGAGAGAGGAGTGGAGGTAGGGAAGATGGGAGACGGGGAGGAGGGGAAGTGTTGGCAGGACTGGGGGACAGGAAGTGATGGCCTGTTGTTTAACAGTTTCTGGGGTTTTGTGAGAAGAGATGGGGATGGTAGTGAGAGCTGTCTACAGAGTGAATGTGCCTATGTGAAATCACACACATAAATGATGGAGGGAGATTTCCCACTACTCGTGTTTTACCACAATTAGGTAAAAATACACATGTCCCTGCATCCATTCCCAAGGGGGTGGATGTTTTAACAGCAACAGTTTGTTAAGGATAAAGAGTGTTAGTGTAGGCGGAGTGGAAATCTTAGGTTAGGAGAATCTCACCAGCATGATCTCGCTGCGGGGTGACCGTCAGAAGGGTTCCTGCGGGGGTAGGGGGGAGGGCTGGACTCTGGACAGGGTGCAGAATCAAGGTGGACTCTTGGATTGTGGATCACGGCTCTCCTCACTATGAAAATCTGCGGCATCCAGGACAAAAGTGCAGGAGGTGTGCACTTCAGAACAGTCATACTGTCATGCCCTGCACTGGTCCCGTGGTTCCGAATGCTAAGGTCCTGCTGAAGGGCAGAGGAGATGGAGTTTCCCGGCAGCTGGGACCAGTTTCCCACTCATGCTGTTTTGTAGGCATCATCATGTTCTCGGATGGAGACTCAGTGCCTCCATCAGACCAGGGCCGAGTCAAACTGTCAGCACAGGAGACTGGCAGAGAGAGCAGGAAAAAAGGCACAGGGCCAAGGTCTTGTCCCTTCTGGTGCCACGAGTCTCTGGTTGTATGAGTGGTTCTCACAGCCACTGTCTCATGGGGCAGCAACTCATGTTGTTACAGTGGAAAGAGGCCCCACAAAGCCTGTGGTTTCCTAGCACTGTGATGAAGTACTTGAAACTGCGGTTTGTTGTTTGTTTTGCAACAGGATCTCATGTATTCAAGCTCAAGATGTGTTTGGGGATGACCTTGCACTACCAGCCTGATCTACATAGTAAGAACTCAAAAAATAAAAATAGGGGCTAGCGAGCTTTCTCAGTGATTAGAGCTTCCTACTCCTGCCGAGGACCCAGGCTCAGTGCCCCAGGATACACACCAGGCAGATTGCAACTCTGGTTCCAGGAGATCCGATGTTCCATGGCCTCTGTGAGCATCTGCATGAAGGTGTTGCACATAAACTCATGCAGGGGTGTGCATCCACACACATAAATAAATATTTAAAAAATAGTAAAAAAATAAACCAAAAAACTAATATCCCTCTTCACCCTCCTAATATTTTATATGTAATCACTGCCATTATTGGTGGCACCCAAAGGAGAACTTGTAATAAAGTATCAGTAAGCACATTAAAGAGCAAAGACAATTTTGAAGATGAGTGAACTTGGGGTTTGGCCATGGGGAAACAGTTTTGTTTTGCTGCTCCATCCGCCACCACCACCACTACCAAAAGCAAAGAAGAAAAGCCATCCAGACAGAGGGTGCACATACCTGTTATCCCCACACTAGGGTGGGTGAAGCCAAAGGGTAGGTTGATGAGTTCAAGGCCAGGCTGCGTCACATAGGAAGGCCATGTCTCAGCAGAAAGGTCTACCTGAAGTGGAGGTCAACTAGTGAGGTCAGGGTCCCCAGAAAAGGGTAAGAGCAGAATCCAGGAGTGATGTCAGTGCCTCCAACTTGTCCCTGGTGGCCATGAATGGCCACTGAAGCTTGACCGAGAAGTCCTGCAGAGACGGGGTGTGATTGTGGAAGGGCACTGACGTCGGCATGAGGAGCTACCAGCATGGGTTCTTGGGATGCTAGAGTATGGGCCTTACTCCACATCCCTCTCTGCCTTCTGTTAGCTGTCCCAGGCATTGAGAAAACATCTCCCCATGTTTGCTGTGAGTTTCCCAGTGATGGAGGAGGCAGGTGAGAGCCTTGCCGGCCCCTTGCTCAGACCCTCTAACCCAGCAAGAAGAGAGGAAAGGAGCCAGTGCCCACCATCCTGGCTTCGATCCTAGTGCCAGACTCTGAGGCAGCATGACCAGGTGACTGCACCTTTCTGTCCCAAGGTATCCTCAACTTGGAACGGGATAAGCTTTGTACCTGTGTCATCCTTCCTAGGACCTATGGGAAGGTGAAATGGGTTGAGATGAACAAAATAAATAGAACAGGGTTGGAATGACAGAGGGAGCCACGTTGTTTTTATTGCTGTTAAAATTATGAATGGGATGTTGGAGAGCAGAGCCAAAGTGTGGGCCATGGACCGGGACCAGTTTGGAAACTCTCTGTTGTGTGCTTGCAGTGAGATAAGTATAGCAACTGAGAGTGAAATTCAAAATGCAGAGCCCTAAACATTGTGTTTGCAAAGTACTTGACTGTGAACAGCTGAATGAGTTTGCAACGTGCCTGATCCTTCACAGGTGAAATGAGTTTGCAACTTGCCCAGTCTTGCACAAGTGAAATGGGTTTGCATCCTTCCTAAGCCCAGGTACAATAAGTTTGCAGCTTACAGAATCGTCTACAGGCAAATGGAATTGTAACCTGCCTGGCACAGGCAATGGGCCTATGTGTCTGGTCATGCACAGGTGCCACAGGTTTGCACACTGAGTAGCTCCAGTGTGCAGCATGGATTGATTGACAGCACTTCTTTCAGCCAGGTTGCCTGGCTGCACGTCCACCTCTGTCCCTTGCTGTGGACTTTTCAGCCAGCCTTACAGATCTTGTCTGCTGGACGTGGATCTGAGGACCTGAAAGAATGGGGCAGATTACAGTCTAATACAGCGTAATGCTGCACACAGCTTTACTTGAGTTTCCGTGTACTTTTCTATAGGAATGTAATGAAGAAAGCAGTGATCCAAGGAAGGGTGTTTGAGTTCAGAAAAGCTTGTAAATAAACTCCAGTAAGCGCGTACTAAATAGCAACAGAGCAGCCCTTTCCCAGAACTTTCCCAGGACAGACTAATTTAAACACAGTTGTCTGGCACATGCTATAGGTTGTCTCTGGGAAAGCACAAAGCAAGGTAGAAGGCCATGTCCTCAGGGAATACTGAGGACAGCACTCAGCTCATCGTTTCACCAGACTGGGTTCTATAGCTGTGTCCTCGAATTCAACAAGAATAAGCAGTCTTATGAATTAAATGTAAGTGTTTGTCGCAAGAGGCACGAAACCACGTTCAAGAACAATCCAGGGAACAAAAATGCAGCTGAGGTAAAAGGCCCTGTCCTTTTTCCCTGTAGCCTCTCTCCCAGTCCCCCTGAGTATTGCTCACCATGTGTCATTCTTTTGACCGTGTTCTGACACTCGCCAGTTGTGTGACTCTGTCTCCGTATCTGAAAAATGGGGTAGATGACAGTACAGGCCTCCAGGGTTCTTTTGCCACTGTCACCACTGCAGGGCAGGGTCTGTAGTACACCTGTGACCACCCAGGCCTGGCAGTTAAGGTAGGGAAGAGAGAGTGGGCCCTGAGTAGCTGATGACATTGAGTTGATTTGACTAGCCTAGAAGTGAATGCAAGTCTGTCTGGTCCAGAGTGCCCTGGGATGGTTATCTTGTGACCTTGAGTTTCAGCCCTCATCTCTGAAGTGTGGTTAAGCCATGCTCACTGCAGAGCCCCTATGGTGGGAGAGTTAATGAGATCCCCCAAGTAAGGACCTTAGCACAGGGCGCAGGGCTTCCCCCTCCATGCCTCCTCTTCCCTCCTTCCTGTGAAGACTATTTTGGATGCATAAAACTAAAGGGGAGGGTGGCAGGATGAGGGAGTGGCACTCAGTAGGCAAACACAAGGGCCAGCACTGAGGAGGTGGAGGCGGGGGCACTCCCCTGGAACTCACCAGCCAGCCAGCCTAGCCTGGTTGCTGAGTTCCAGGTCAGCAAGTGATCCTATATCAATAAAAAGAAAAAAAAAGTGGATGTCTTCTGGGGAACACATGAAGTTGACCTCTGACATCCACATACATGCAGGTGCTCATCTGTATACACATATGCACCTAAACACACATGAATACATACAAGAGAATGCAAATAGGGCTTACCTTTAGGATGCTCCAGGCTGATATCATCATTTAACCCTCAAGGGAACTAAGGCTCAGAGAGATTGACAGTCCCATCTAAAGACACAGCAGGTCAATAGTAGATGGAGAAGCAGACCACAGAGGTGTGGTGACTCAAAGGTCAGTGTACTTTCTGTTGGTGATATTTGCAAGGTCCCCTGGTGAGTGAGAGCTGATAGGACCAGGGTCTAAACGAGTGACTGATTCTCCGAACACTCCCCCAGCCTCATATTCCTGAAGCCCAACCTGGAGACACTGGATTTCTTTGACCTGCTGTGGATCGTGGGGATCGCCGACTTTGTGCTGAAGTATATCACCATCGCCCTCAAGTGCCTCGTCGTGGCCCTGCCTAAAATCATCCTGGCTGTCAAGTCCAAGGTAAGTGCTGGCTACTTCCGCCCCAGACCCTAGTCACTGGGCAAGTGTGCGGTTCCAGGCACCTCCCAGAGGAGGAGAAAGCTGGAGAAGAGCTAATGCAACACTGTGCTCTGCCCACCACGATGTCCCTGCATCTGCACGCCTCAGTACGTTTTTCTTCACAGCTTTCCTTGATAGATTTTTCATCTGGTTTTACCTGAGGGAGGGATAAAGCCTGTCCATATGCCTGCGTCCTTCACCTCTCAGTAAAGAGTGGCACAGTGTTTGATGCTGTACATTCCATGAACTCTTTTCTGTAAATGTGACTGATTCTCAGGGAGTGCTCTGTGATCTACTAGTAATGCCTGCCATGGGCAAAGGTGAGCAGTGGGAGCAGTGATGCTTTGTAGTGTGCAACAGGGAAATGCTTCAGGATTAAGAGTTCTTGAGGAATGAATGGCCTTTAGAACTCAGAACTGTCACTGACACTCACTCTGAGGATAGCAGGTTGAATTGGCCTTCAATCTTGAGCGACAACTGACCCAACTCACTAGGGGCTAAAGTTAGAGCAGCTTCCTTTCTCTCCCCACCGTGCACTGACTTGGGTGAGCCCAAATTCTAAGATGTTGAGGTTTTCTTGGATGAGGCCATATCTCTGTGCCCTAAAGCAGGGTCACGAAGCATAAAGACGCAGAGAGGCAAGTGAGGAGAGGAACCACTAGGCATACAGGAGCCCTGAGCCGCCTCTCCGGACTTGCCCAGACTGTAATAGCCATGTCCCTCTGCCTGTCTTGTTCATGCCACATTCCTATAGGGACCATGACTGTGACCCCAAAAAACCAGCCTGGCCAGTGGTTAGACACACAGACTTAGGCCTCGGGCACATTTTTGTCTGAGCCCGGCTGGATTCCTGTCTGTATGATGCTAGGCAGATAACGAAACCTCTCTGAGCTCCTCGCCTGTCTGCCACTGGAAATCGTGCCTTCCATTAAAAGTGCTGACCTTCTAGGAAAATGTTGCTTTTGGGCACAGAGAAAGCGCTTTGCATGAGCCTGGTGCATAGGAAACTTCACAAGGAGTGCTGCGTGGCACAAGCTCACTGTCCTCCAGCCAAAATGCGTGGATCACAATTGTTTTCAGTTTTTAGACTATCTGCATATTCATGATGAGGTATGTCTGGAATGTGATCTGGGTATAAACATGGAATTCACCTGTCTCACCCACATGGCGAGAAGGTGGCATCAGACAATACTGTTGGTACACCGGCTTTCTGTTGCAGCGTGTCATGGGAGGTCAAGGTGGAATTTTCATGTATGTCTTCATGTCTGAGCTCAGTTGCAGATTTTCAGGCCTTTGGGATGCTGTAGTTTTGGGTTGGGGAGCTCCTCCTGCACCAATATGACTTAGTCTTCATGGCACCTAATCCAGGGCTTTTCCTGATGGTGCAGAGTCCTGGCCAGGTGCCTATTTCTCAGGCTTCGTAGTCACTGTGTGGTGGCTTTGTTCTCCAGGACTAGGAAATCTAGGATTTTGGAAGTTTCCACTTTCCTGTCTCCCCCAAACTCTAATGGGTCCAGTCAGTGAGAATTCAAGAGTCATATTGTCTGCCTTGTGGAGTCCATATGCCTCGGCCAGGAATAGCTTGCAACCATTAGCTGCTTGAAAAAAGTAAGGCACTTCCTACAGGAATACAGGCCTCAGCCTGCAGGCACAGGGCATTTCACCTTCAGGACCCTCTTCTTGTCCCACAGCCAAGTATGAAGCATAGGAATGCAGGCTGGGGAGGAGCTGGGCCTAGAGCTAGCAGACATAGCTATGCCCCTCCCTCCATGCATGGGAGCACCTGTCACTGCTGAAGCCTCCTGGCTCTACATAGTCTACAGAGTCAGCCTGGCAGGCAAGAGAGACTGAGTCCCTACCAGAGCTTGCCGTTGATGCTGAATGACTCTGGAGAACAGACTGTCAATTGAGGTCATTTCCCCCGCCCATTCTGGCTCCTGTCAGGAGCGACTACTGTCAAGCACCTGTGGGGCACTTGGCATTTGCTGGTTGTGGACCTGATCTCACTTCGACATTACTGTCACCCCTTCTCACATCTGTGGTGACTATGGCACAGGGTGGTTTGGTGACTTGCCCAGGACTACAGTCAGAAGCTGCAAAGCAGTCAGGCCTGTTCTTGTGACTTCTGAGCAACTAGAAGTCACCACCCAAGTCACCCTCAAGTCACCCCAAGTCTGAGCACTGTGGCTTTTTACTGTGGGTGGACATAGACACTGTGCCCACCTGCTTCAGACAGTAAGCTAATGGTATATCATGTGACACCAGAGGCAGGAGGGCCTCCTAATGGCTCATGGTCCATCATTTGTGGTGACACATTAGTAATGTCCACTGCCATGTGCCTTGTCCTCTTGAAATTCTCCCATGATGTCTTTGAGCAAGTTACTTAACTTCTTTGCTGTTTATTGTTTTGTTTAATTGTTACTAATTTATTTCCTTGGGTGGGACACATGTCACAGCATCTGCATAGGGGTCAGAGGACAACTTTCGGGAGTTGGTTCTCTCCTTCCACTGTGTTGGTCCTGGGATCCAACTCAAGTCCCCAGGCCTGATGGCAAGCTCTTGTACTGCAAAGCCATCTCACTGGCTCTGACTTGCTTGTTCTGATATGGGGTCTGGTCTGCCAAGTTCCCCTTTTGAATCAGCCCCTATGTAGCTTAGCGGACGGACAATGAGTGAACTTCATGCTGGGCACATGGTTCTTGTGGGCACATGGTTTCCCCTCCCCCATCCATCCAGCTGCCAGCAAGGGAAGCCCAGACTATGGCCACCTGAGGAAGGCTTCCCCAGCACAGCTGTGGCTGAGGCAAATCATGGGCAGGTTTCCAGGAACAGACAGAGGACGTCCTGTCTGTTCTAGCTGCCTTCTAGCTGCTCTGGATCTCTGGACATGGGCCTCCATGAGCCCATGGTTTAGGTTCACAACCTGGGAATGATCTTGAACACTTTTCCTTGCTTCTCCCCGCAGCCATCAACATCTGTCCATTTTGTATCTTAATTGACTCCAAAGTTGAACCTCCTACAGTTTCACTCCTGAACCCTAAACTTTGCTGCCACAGAACCAAAGTGGGCTTTTTCAGTTTCTCCTCTCTGACCTCCTTGTTCTGTTCCTTGTGGTCAAGGCAGCCTTTTCAGACAGCGAATGTGATGACTCATCTCGTCACTTCTCTTTTCTTCTCTATGTCTAAAACTCCTAGAAGGGAATGAAAGCATCTAGCTTATTTGTTGTTGGGTCACAGCATCTCTATACATTCAGAAACATGTGGTGTGTGTGTGTGAGAGAGAGAGAGAGAGAGAGACAGAGATAGAGAGACAGAGACAGAGACAGAGAGACAGAGACACACAGAGAGAGGCAGAGACAGAGAGACAGAGACACACAGAGAGAGGCAGAGAGAAAGAGGGAGGGAGGGAGGGAGGGAGGGAGGCAGGGAGGGAGTGCGTGCTCTGACTTCTCATTCACAGACTGAACTAAGTAAGATGGCACAGCCTGCCGGCCTCTTGGTGACAAGTCAGCCACAGAAGAGAGGGTATGGATCAGCCCTTCACAAGCAGGGCCCTTCTCTTAGCAGTCCGTGCCCTCAGAGGCCTCATAAGGCAAGGGCAGTTAAAATAGTTTATTTGAGGTAAAATTCACATAAAATTAGCCACTAATCATTTAAAAGGGTGTCATTAATTCTGTGACATTTCATGCAGTGACAGTGCAACCAGCACCCCTGTGCAGCTCCAGAACATTGCCATCACCCCAGAGGGAAGCCTGTATTCACTAAGAAGTCACTCCAAGCTCCTCCCACCAGCCCTAATCTGGCTTCTGTCTGTGGATTTGTCCACTCCATACAGTTCCCACATACAGAATCAATTCATAACTGTTAACCAACATTCATGTCTTCAAGTTCATCTGCATTGTAGTATGGGCTGGCACAGCTCACACACCTGTAATCCTAGTCCTTAAGAGGCAGAGGCAGGAAAATCAAAGCTCAGGGCTAGCTTGGGAACAGTAAGACCTTACTCAAAAGAAAGAAAAAAAGCAGGGTTAAATGATGGTTCAATGGGTAAGAGCACTTCCTCTGCAGGCAGGAGGTCCTGGGTTCAAATCTCAGTACCACAGGCACAGCCAGACATGGTTGAGGTGCCTGTAACCCCAGAATTGTAGGACACAGACAAACAGATCCCAAAACAGCGAGAGAGAGAGAGACCTTGTCACAGGCAGTAAAGGGGGCAAGCAGTAGAAGATAATTCCTAAGATCTGTTCTCTCTGGCAAGAAAACCCCACACTCAGTGCATCACACACACACACACACACACACACACACACACACACACACACACGCACATAAGCATGCCCACAAGAAAACACACTACTACCACACTTTAGCTTGGTTCAGCCTTCATTTTTCCCCGTGACTGGCTCCCAACCCACACTGAGCAGACAACCATTTATTCAGCCTTTTGCCCTTTGAGAGAGACTTTGGGGTGTTTCCCAACTTCTGGCCAACGTGAGTAATGGCACTTGGGACCTTTTGTGTGTAGGAATGCAGATATGGTTTTTCTGAGTAAATTTAGTTTCCTGGATTTGTTTAGAGAACCCTTCTGAACTAGTTAAGAGTCAGGTCTGTGGATACAAAATCCCTGTCTGCCTCCAATCCAGGCTAGTGTGTCTTCCCTCTCCTTCAGAAGGCACTGCTTTGGACCAGGGGGTGGGTGTGGGCCCTGACACCCTTTCTCGTACCTCTGAGGTGTGGTGACAGTTATTAATGCCTCTCTGGCAACTGTCCAGCTCCTTCCTTGATGATTATTATTTTATTCGGGGAGATTAATGTACCAGGTCAGAGCGTGATCCAGCCTGTAACAAGTGATGTGAATGGCCCTCCCAAGATAAATTGCAGGCTGGGAAAAGGTCCGCAGCCTCTCCTTGCCTGTCTGAGAGCTCTTGAGAATCCTCATCAATCCTTGTCTGGGAGGAAGAA